AATTCTTTAAGTTAATAATAGTCTGTAGTCTATTTTAATTTCTTTCAGGTGAATACATTTAATGCAATTGAATTTGTTGAACCTCAAATTAAAAAAAAAGCGAAGCATATTTGCTCCACATAATTAATAAATAATGTCATATAAAATATATAACAAATGAATAAGTAAATTATTTTCAAACTTACCTAGGAAGGAACTTAAGAAAAAGAGTGGCGATACTTTTTCTAAGTATCCAGAGCTTTAGATATTGTTTGTCATCACATAACGATTTCAAATTTGGTAGTAATGATGTTAATTTTATTCTCAAATAATTTTAATTTTATTCTCTCCCAATCTATTTCGATACTTATTTTTTAAGTACAAGAACGCAGCTTCGCGCTCTTAAGTGGTGACAAAAATCATTGAAAACTGAATTGTTTTCTCGCTTGCGCTTGGATACTCCTTTTGACAGAGCAACCAAAAATTAATCAGTGGTACAGTTTTAAACACTATTCAATCTATTTATGTACTGTTTCAAAATATTTAAAATTTACTTTTGAAAGTGGTTGATTCAACTGTCTTTTTTTAATTATTGCCGTGACTTTTTCCGACTCCTTGGAAATATTTAAACCAGAGCCTTGCAAATATAAATTCAGTTCATTGAATGTAGCAAATGTGTCGTACAAATAATAAGCTACTTTTATTAACCACTCAAAATAGTGGATTTTATCCTTAAATGGAAAAATAGCATATTTTTTAGATGGTGGGATTTAATTCCGAAGGAAGAAAGATTTGTCTTTTATCTCAAACAGACGTTTTAAAACGTTTCCTTTTGAAAACTATCATAATTTACAATGCAAATGGTTATTCGTTAGAAGGATTATTCGAGTGACGATGATTGTTCAAAAAACATATGTAATTTAAATTTTTAGAGGTTGTTAAAATCGTTTATTTTCTTTTGTCAAAATTCTTCGCTACTAGATTAAATAGTTCTCCTTTCTCTAAATATATATATATATATATATATATTTCATTTTTTGTTTCTTTCGTGATCCATCGAATCAAAAATTAGCTTAGAAACGCTTTTCATTTAGATTTTGCACAATTTCATAATTAGCATAGAGGGCTCTGGCTAAAAAATGAACACAATTTAACTCTACAGTCAAGAATGACTGTTACAAAATCATAATAGTTACAAACGTTACATATTATTATTTAAAACGGATTATATTAATGACGATAGAACGTTCAAAAAACATGCGTTATTTTAAATTTTTAGAAGTTGGCAAAATTGTTTATTTTCATCTGTCAAAATTCTTCGTTACTGGATTAAATAGTTATCTTTTCCCTAAAAAAAAAATCATTCTTCATTTTTTGTTCCTTTTGTGAGCCATCAAATCAAAATATAGTTTACAGACGCTTTTCATTTAGATTTTGCACAATTTTCATAATTAGCATAGAGGGCTCTGGCTAAAAAATGAACATAATTTAACTCTACAGTCAAGAATGACAGTTACAAAATCATAATAGTTACAAACGTTACACATTATTATTTAAAATGGATTATTTTAATGAAGATTGAAACGTTCAAAAAACATGTGCAATTTTTAAATTTTTAAAAATTGGTGAAACTGTTTATTTTCTTCTGCCAAAATTCTTCTTTACATTAAAGAGCTTTTCACTAAAAATATTTTTAAAAAAATCATTCTTCATTTTTTGCTCCTTTCGTGATCCATCATATCTGAAATTAGTTTAGAAACGCTTTTCATTTAGATTTTGCATCTTTTTCATAAAGCATAGAAAGCACTGGTTAAAATATAGACGAAATTTAACTCTTCAGTCAAGAAAAACAGTTACAAAATAACAATAGTTACAAACGTTACATATGAGTTAAAAAGTATCATATCAATGACGATTGAGCTTTCAAAAAATAAAAGCAATTAAAATTTTTGGTGGTTGGTAAAATCGTTTATTTTGTTCTGTCAGAATTCTTCGTTGCTAGATTAAATACTTCCCTTTTCACCAGAAAATAAAAGAATCAATCTTCATTTTTTATTCTTTTCATGATCCATCAAATCAAGTGATGGATTTGTAATGTAACAAAGGTTAAGACTTCTTTGGGTTTTTTCATTTATCTTTTTTTAACATTTTTATCTCGGTTAGAAATATAAGAATAGAGTATAAGTATTAGAAAATTCCAATTCAATAGTTGTTTAAATGATTATTCTTCTAAGCATTTAGTAGAGAAATAGTTAGAAGTTTATAAGTTATGCTCGAACAACATTTTCTACCGTTTGTTTGATATATAAAACAAAGAAAATATCCATCGAAACGATCATTTTATTTTACTAGCATCACCTTTCTCTGCGTTGCTCGATTCAAAGAAATTTTGGCTGTTCTTTTCAGATTGCTTTCGTTCACCCATTGGCCACTATTTTACTTTTTTCTTTGTATGAATTGTATAGTAAAAAGATGTAAAAATTCTGCACTGAGAATAAAAGTATGGTCTAAACAACTGGAATATGAAAATTTTTTCCTTGTTTCTAGACCTATGGAAACATTAAAAGGCTCAATAATTTCAAAAGAAGTGCTTTGGTATTTATTTTTATAAAATTAAGAATAAAATATGGTTTTTATAGTAGGTGATAAAAGTTGTAAAATTTGGTAATTTTAGCATAATGGCAAGGCGTAAAAGACAGTTATTTGACTAAATTTACTTATAAGTTTTGTATTTTTTACTAAATGTGTGGTAACAAGAACTATAATTTCGAAAACCAGAATTTCCGATAAACGGTTACCATATGAACTTGAAAATTTCAAATGAATGTTTTAAGTACCGTATATATTGGTTTTATTACCATAATTATGATTTTTCTACCAGAAAGGTCATTACCATACAGTACGATAATTTTACCAGAACACATAATACATAGTTTAAGGAATTAAATTAATGCAATGACTTTTCTTCGCAGATAAGCATACAGGGGTTCTAAAATCAAGAATCATAAATAGTTTTGAATTTGACTCCTTTGCAACGTTTAAAAGTTAAACTAGTTGATCAGATTTAAATACAGAAATTAAAAACCATGTTTCTCTGGATTACTGCAGGCTTCGTCTGCCCAATCTTTACTGTTACGGCTCTAAATCCATTTTCTTGGGATGTTAGCTTAGCCTTGTCTGTACCATTGGACAAAAAATCACAATTTTTTGTAATTAACTGCAACGAGTTGTTTTTCAAATGTAGTGTTCACAAACTAATTTTCAAAATTCAATCACTACTTAACTGTAATCGATATTTAAGCTCTAAAATATTGAAAAACAATTTGTAAAAAATTAGTTTTGAATAATAAATTGACTTATTAAAAGATGGAAATTTATATAGAAATATCTTTTTATGTTTTAATGAGCCAATTTATTATTATTTTTGTTTTTATAGAATTTTTGCTTTCAGACTTCATTTTAATGCCTTTCTTGACAGCAAATATTCAAAGAAAATTATGAAAAATTATCAAATGTTTATATTAAGTTACATGATTGTTTCAGGGCAAAATATGTTTGGCATCATTGAAATAACGCGTATGCATTCTTGTAATTTTGACCAAAAAAGAGAGAAAAAATCACTTTACTTTGATACGGCTATTTATTTAAAAATAGTTTAGATTTTTATCACATCAAGTTCTCATTATACCTTACATCAAAAGCTGATACGAGTAAAAATAAATAAATAAATAAATAAAAATAATTTTGTTTATAAGAACTACTTTATAATTCGTGCGTTTGATTACTGCTGGAGTTGGAGATAGTCTTCACTATTTCAAATTGATTGACTTAAAGTATTTGTAAAATTCTCGATTCGACTGTTACCGATAAAACTAACGAACGTTCGAGTTTTAAAAGTTGAAAGCTGACATAAAACGCACCTAACATTGAAGAACGCATGCGTGAATATTGTGAAAGAGTCAAAGCATAGCCTTGATTAATTACCTGTTGATGACAATCTAGTGTAAGTAGAATCTGCTTCGTTCCTTCCGAATCATTATTCTAAGTCACGCGATCTGCCCTGCCTAATAAGATTAATTGAAAACAACTGTTTAATTATGAAGTGATTTTTGCAGTATCTATGATAAAAAGAGGATGTTATGATTAAGTATTTTGGAATTATTTGCTGCTGTTGTCTTTTTTGGATACTTTAATAAGAATTTTAGGTTAGGGCACAGGGAGAAAAAAATTCTGGTAATATTACAGTACTATAAAGACATTTCTGGTTTAAAAAAAAAACATTATTTTGTTTAATAAAACCAAATTACGCGTCATTAGGACCATACATTTTGGTAATTTCATCGATTCATATGGGTTATGCGATAAAATTACCACATTTTATCACATTTCCCAAAGTTCATATCATATTATAAACTATATTTTTTTTGTCAATTATTCTAAAACCATTGGGGCCGGTATAGCATGGTTGGCAGGGCGTTGGACTCACGTTCGTGAGAATGGGAGTTTCAATCCAGCCGACGGAAGACTCCCCATGTAGTCAATGGTGCACGTTAAATTTGTCGGGTCACAAAGTCCTCCATGTTTCCATAAATAAACAAAAAATGCCTCTAGGAGTACTGAATCAGAGATTAATCGTTTTCTGGTTCAGGTCAAAATTACGATCTGTGGAAGAATGGATGTGTGAATGGGTCCGGGCAACGAGTGTGACGTATGGGTGTGACAGAAGTGTAATTCTTGACCATAGATGGCATCCCCTCTGCATTAATGGCCGACGACAACAATAACAACCAAAACCGTTACCAAAGCCCTTCGAAATAAATTAGCTAGCGTTTTGGTGTCCCCATAAAGCCAGAAACACTGTAAATGTTACCATACTTTTTTTTCTCAGTCCGCTATGGTCCCTTTTGAGATAAAATTTAAAAAGAAAAAAAAAACAATTTCATTCAAATTTGTTTGGTATTGTCTGTTTCACCTATTGCATTTTATATAATATTACATAATATTTCTTTTTCTCTTTACAGAAGCTTGCAAATGTGTTATGCAGTATTTAGCCATGGTTTCCGGGTTTACCAGTGATATGGACTGTATCAAAGAGCAACTGTTACAATCAAATTTTATTTTAGAAGGTTCTCATTTTTTTAATATTTCATTTATAATATTCATTTACTATTGTACATAACATAATGTGGACTGTAACAACTATTTAATTATTCACTTAAAGCGCCAAGCACAAAACTTTTCTTATAAACACGCTCACAATGTGTGGTCTTTCGCTATGTATGGCCTAAATTCCTAATTTATACTGTAGCACATGATCCACTCGCTTCATGAGAGAACTAGCTCAGAGGGTCAGAGCACGCATTTATAAGAGCACATGCGCCATGCCATAATAGAGACATTTATAAGAGGATATACGTCATGCAATAATGAAACATTTATAAGAAAACACAAGTCATGCTATAATACCCATTAACCCTTTGACGTCGTTTTTTTATTCAACATATTTTCCATACTATTTTTTATTATTTTGCATTAATTTAGGTCAAAATAAGTCAAATTTATTTAGCATTTTAATAATTTATGATTATGAAATACAACATGGAAAATGTTTTTTTTTTTCTGAATTAAAGGTAAAATCTTCCGAAAACGACTCCCTTCCAAACAATAATTTTTAAATTTGCATTTATTGGCAATTATTTAGATCTAAGAGAAACAGTTATTCATCAGTAAACTTTCTCTAATTTACAAAATCAATTATTGTTAAATTTTTGAATATGAATAAAAAATATTTTTTAAACTGCTTTTTTTTAATTTTATATTTTAATATAAATATAATTCCGGTAGTATAAATTTTTTTAGAAACTGTTAAACTGGTTTTTTTATAATTGAAAAACACCAAAATGTTTTTTTTTGCTTGTAATTAGAGCGCCAGAAAAAAATATATAAGGGACACCTGTATCCCATCTGCGTCAAAGCGTTTTACAACTCATTTGAAAGTACTTTTAATAAAAAAATAACGCTTCAAGGTGTAAAATTTTAAAACAGTATTTATGTTAAGCTATAATTAAATTTTACAACAAAAAAATTATTAAATTTTACTAAAAAAAAAAAGGTTTGCAAAACGTATCATTAATAGTACTTTTATTTAAAAATTAGCTTTTTCCGTTATGGATTTTGAAATTTTTTTTATGTTAAGACGCAATACCTAATAACTTTTATCTATTAATCACCTTTCAAAGCTAATTTTGAAAGTACTTTTTAATTAACGGTGCAATTTATTTACTAGATTGTAACTGTGCGAATTTTAAAAAAAAGCATTCGCGACAAGTGACAATAACACTTTTCACAGCGTATTTGAAAAAATATTTATTGAAAAGGAAGTAGCTATAAAGTGTTTTTTTAAAACACTATTTAAGTAAAGCCATAATACACAATAGCATTTTTGCAACTTATACCGTAAAAAAAAGGGTTTTTCAAAATTGAGCAAAAATGTGTCAAAACAGCTCTGAATCAAATATAGTCAAATTTGAAAACTCATTAATACTCAATAATGAGTACATCAACTCATTTGTACTAATTATTGAGTATAATGAAACACAAAAAATTAAATAATCTCAAAAATTTACTCAATATTAAGTATAATGACACACTTAAAAGTGAATAGTCTCAAAAATGACACATCGTGGGAAAATGACTCGTCATACTCATATGTGACTAAGTTCAAATTTTATTAGTTTATAACGATCAAATATTCGAAAAAAATATGACTGTATAAAAGTTACTACACTTATTTTTATTCAATTTTTTTTTTCACGAATTAAGAATGTTTTCAGTTTAGTAAAATCAACACTTTCCTTCCTTGCCACCAGATCCATTAACAAATAAAAAATGGATTCCCAGGACTTTTTTTAATTGTGAGATTGACACTGTACTTAATAATGAGAACACGTTTTTTTTTTAATTTGACTGTATTTGATTCTGAGCATTTTTGACACCATTTTGCTAAATTTTGAGAATCCCTTTTTTGCAGTGTATTTAAAAAAAAAATTAGAATTTTACAACAGTACTTACGTCAATCCAGCAACATTTTGCACCGTTCATTTGAAAGAACTTTTATTTAAAAGTAAGTTGTTACTTTATAAATTTCAAAACAGGATTTCCGTAAGGCCATGAAACTTCAAATAACTAATTTGAATTATTTAAACGTTATCTTACTCTAAGTTTAACTCTTTGTCGCAGATTAAACACCGGTGACCCTTTTATATATTTTGCTTATATTCTGACCTTCTAATTACAAATAAAAAATATATTGGTATTTTTTAATAAAAATATTTGTTATTTACAAAAAAATATTTGTTATGTCCTCGGAATTATATTTGTTCTAAACTATAAAATCCAAAGAAAGTAATTTGATTTTTTTTCATCCGTGTTCAAAAATTTATCGATAATTGACTTTGTAAAATAAAAAAAAATGAACTGTTTCTCTTAGATTTAAATAACTTCAAATAAGCGAACATTTGAAGAAAAAAAAACTATTGTTTGGTAGTGAGTAATGTTAAAAAAATTTTACTTTTAAAACAAAAGGAGACGCAGGTGTATGATGCTGTATTTCATAACCGAAAACTATTAGAATTCTGAAAGTAATATTGCCGAGCAGTCTGAGTCTCAGTAGCTCATTGGTATAATTCGAATCTGCAAAGCAAAAGGTCCCAGGTTCGATACGGGGCGCGGACACTAATTCCCATTTTTTCTTATTTAATTCTATGAACATTCCAGAAGCTTCTGGTACATTCAATTTACATCATTTCCTCCTTAGTAATTTCAAGGAAGTTTCTAGAACGTTCTTTGTTAGTTTATACGCGATCTCTTCATTGTAAACAGACAGTTCTTAGTGCAGACTGGTTCTCGTCATTTGTACTTTCTTCTCGTTATTATATTCATTATTTAAACCTCATCTTGTCATCTGTATTAAACAACTTTAACGTGACAATATTTTTTCACTTATTTTGACCTAAATTAATGCAAAATAATTCAAAACGCAACAGATATATTAAACGAAAATTCTGCTTCAAATGGCTAAAAAACCTATTTCTAATTTTGGGTAAATTGTAGAAAAATATTTCATTATTTTTATATCAGTTTTGGAACAGTTTGACTATTTGTTCAGATTTTGTACAGCTTATTTCACATGATACTTGCATTACAGACTATATAGTCTTGTAATCCATACTAACAATAAGTCTATGTTTTTGCAGCTTTTGGAAACGCCAAGACTCATCGGAACGACAACTCTTCAAGATTTGTAAGTAAGCAACGGTATCGTACACTTAATTCTTTATTTTAATAGTGTCGTCACATTTTTAAACTCTATATTTTAACTCTATACACTGTATTATAAATGCGCTTAGCATCTATTTACTTTATGCGCCACTAATCCAACTCTTCACTCACTGTTAGAAAGTTATAGAAAAAAACTGGTTAAATAACAATTTATTTAATTGTTTCACCGTATTCAAACAAAGCAGTCAAATAACCATACATAAGACGGTATTCAAACTGTGAGAAAAACCGTTTATTAACTGTTTTCACCTAATACAGTTAAACGACCAAAATTTTATCGCAACAACTACGCTCACCTAATGAACCCACTTGCTGATGGTTACGTATTATAGCCGAGAAGGCTATTTTGCTTTTCTCATGACCGACAGAACGGAGGTTCGAATCCAAGCGTTGACAACATAATGTTTCCTCAATTCCTTTCACATGAAGAGTTACCAGTGTCCCACGCTAGCCAATTTGTGACCCTTGATTATCTTAATAAGATACTCTCAATCGCGTATAGATGGCAGCCCCAGAAAGCTGCATAAAGCAAAATAGTCTAGTATCTCTAACGATAGGTGAAACAACCAGATAAATTATTTAAAACGCATTCCATGGTTCGATTGATTAAACACAACTCAACTACAACCTAACCCTTATGCCCATTATCTGATAAAAAGCCTAACTCCAATTTCCAGATAAATTTTTTTACTGTTTTGAAACCATACTAGTTGTAAACGTTTAAAAAAGTATATAGTTATGTATTCACTGTATTTTAACCATACTAGTTTCGAACGGTTTCAAAATCGTAATGGTAAAATTTGCTCTTTACCTTAAACTTAACAGTTAGTTGGTTCTTGCTGCCCGTTATTTTACCACAATTTTAGAATTAAAATTCTAACAGTGTGCTACATTTTGTTTAGCCAATTATGATATTAATTTTAATGGATTAATTAAAATATAGTTGAAGCAAATAATAATGTGGGAGATACGTTACTTGTTCTCATGAATTAAGTCCAGTTTTATTAAAAAAAAAACATTTAATCAAATGCTATTTTANATTCCAAATTTTTTTTTTCACGAATTAAGAATGTCTTCAGTTCAGTAAAATCAACACTTTCCTTCCTTGTCACAATATCCATTAACAAATAAAAAATGGATTCTCAGAGCTTTTTTTAATTGTGAGACTTAATAACGAGAACACAGTTTTTTTTTAATTTGACTGCATTTGATTCTGAGCATTTTTCACACAATTTTGCTTAATTTTGATGATCCCTTTTATGCAGTGTATTTGAAAAAAATTGTGGAATTTTACAACAGTACTTACGTCAATCCAGCAACATTTTGTTCCGTTCATTCAAGAGAATTTTATTTGAAAGTAAGTTGTTTCTTTTTAAATTTTAAAACAGGATTTCCGTAACGCCATGAAACTTCAAATAACTAATTTGAATTATATAAACGTTTTCCAACTCTAAGTTTAACTCTTTGGTGCAGATTAAACACCGGTGAACCTTTTATCTATTTTGTTTATATTCTGACGCAATATAATTACAAGCAAAAATATATATTGGTATTTTTAAACATATATTTGTTATATATAAAAAAAATATTTGTTATGTCCTCGGAATTATATTTGTTCCAAACTATAAAATCCAAAGGAAGTAATTTGATTTTTTTTTCATCCGTGTTCAAAAATTTATCAATAATTGACTTTGTGAAGCAAAGAGATTTTAACTGTTTCTCTTAGATTTAAATAACTTCAAATAAGTGCAAATTTGAAGGAAAAAAATATTGTTCGATTGTGAGTCATGTTAAAAAAATTTTACTTTTAAAACAAAAGGGGACAAAGGTGTCTGATGCTGTATTTCATAACCAAAAACTATTCGAATTCTAAAAGTAACATTGCCGAGCAGTCTAAGTCTCAGTAGCTCAGTGGTATAATTCGAATCTGCAAAGCAAAAGGTCCCAGATTCGATACGGGACGCGGACACTAATTCCCATTTTTTCTTATTTAATTCTATGAACATTCCAGAAGCTTCTGGTACATTCAGTTTACATCATTTCCTCCTTAGTAATTTCAAGGAAGTTTCTAGAACGTTCTTTGTTAGTTTATACGCGATCTCTTCATTGTAAACAGACAGTTCTTAGTGCAGACTGGTTCTCGTCATTTGTACTTTCTTCTCGTTATTATATTCATTATTTAAACCTCATCTTGTCATCTGTATTAAACAACTTTAACGTGACAATATTTTTTCACTTATTTTGACCTAAATTAATGCAAAATAATTCAAAACGCAACAGATATATTAAACGAAAATTCTGCTTCAAATGGCTAAAAAACCTATTTCTAATTTTGGGTAAATTGTAGAAAAATATTTCATTATTTTTATATCAGTTTTGGAACAGTTTGACTATTTGTTCAGATTTTGTACAGCTTATTTCACATGATACTTGCATTACAGACTATATAGTCTTGTAATCCATACTAACAATAAGTCTATGTTTTTGCAGCTTTTGGAAACGCCAAGACTCATCGGAACGACAACTCTTCAAGATTTGTAAGTAAGCAACGGTATCGTACACTTAATTCTTTATTTTAATAGTGTCGTCACATTTTTAAACTCTATATTTTAACTATATACACTGTATTATAAATGCGCTTGGTATCTATTTACTTTATACGCCACTATTCCAACTCTTCACTCACTGTTAGAAAGTTATAGAAAAAACTGGTTGAATAACAATTTATTTAATTGTCTCACCATATTCAAACAAAACAGTCAAATAACCGTACATAAGACGGTATTCAAACTGTGAGAGAAACCGTTTATTAACTGCTTTCACCTAATACAGTTAAACGACCAGAATTTTATCGCAACAACTACGCCCACCTAATGAACCCACTTGCTGATGGTTACTCATTATAGCCGAGAAGGCTATTTTGCTTATCTCATGACCGACAGAACGGAGGTTCGAATCCAAGCGTTGACAACATAATGTTTCCTCAATTCCTTTCACATGAAGAGTTACCAGTGTCCCACGCTAGCCAATTTGTGACCCTTGATTATCTTAATAAGATACTCTCAATCGCGTATAGATGGCAGCCCCAGAAAACTGCATAAAGCAAAATAGTCTAGTATCTCTAACGATAGGTGAACCAACCAGATAAACTATTTAAAACGCATTCCATGGTTCGATTGATTAAACACAACTCAACTACAACCAAACTCTTATGCCCATTATCTGATGAAAAGCCTAGCTTCAATTTCCAGATAAATTTTTTTACTGTTTTGAAACCATGCTAGTTGTAAGCGTTTAAAAAAGTATATAGTTTTGTATTCACTGTATTTTAACCATACTAGTTTCGAACGGTTTCGAAATCGTAAAGGTAAAATTTGCTCTTTACTTTAAACTTTACAGTTAGTTGGTTCTTGCTGCCCGTTATTTTACCACAATTTTAGAATTAAAATTCTAACAGTGTGCTACATTTTGTTTAGCCAATTATGATATTAATTTTAATGGATTAATTAAAATATAGTTGAAGCAAATAATAATGTGGGAGATACGTTACTTGTTCTCATGAATTAAGTCCAGTTTTATTAAAAAAAAAACATTTAATCAAATGCTATTTGACTTTTTTGAGATGACATTTTATTTAATGATACTTTATTTTTAAAAACATTTGATCGAATGAAACTTTTTTTCCCCCAAATCTGATCTAATTGCAATTTATTTTCAATAAATAACATTTTATCAACTGAATATTTTTCTTAAATGACATTTAAACTAATGCAATTTATCTTGAATACTGTTTAATATAATGATGCATTTCTATAATAACATTTGATTTCATGACGTTTTACTTTTGTTTAAATTGTAGTAGAGTAAATTAAATGTACTAAGTATCAAAACATGTTTAGTAGAGGCTAAACTTGAAAGTATTTCTAACAATCGTATTTTAACTCCTCTCTGTTTTCTTTGGTAATTAGATATCCGCATGAGACGTCACGCGTGGGTCAGCCAATCAAGTATGGCACACATGGATGACGTCGCTAGCAGTTATCCGATTAAATCTGATCAGAAAATTGATTCGAAATGATAATAAACCCAAGCTTTAAAGCTGTAGGGTTACTAGGTCATATACAACTACGTGATATGACACAACCATGTAATTGGTTGCAAGTGCCAAGTTATACTTTTGTTACTGTTTGTTCATTTAATTTCCCACCTGTACTGTGATTTAGCAGATTTCAAAAGTAATTTTATTTTTTCCTTGTGTAAATATTAATTTACAACCCTTTTTTTTTGCTTTCATTCAGAAAAATTTAAAAATACATATTAAGGGTCTTCTTTACGAAACACCCTGTATGTTAAAATGCATTCCCTGATACATCGAAAATACCACGCTTTAAAATGAGTATCAAATATAGGGGACTAATTGACAATGATAACATCATATTAATATATGATATATCATATTAATATCATTATTATTATCATCATAATTATTGCAAACAACGCTATATATCGAAAGCAACAATGTTATCGAAAGCTATAATATGGCTATTAATTATCAACAACCACGATTATATCATGATTATCATCGTAACGATACGATCGTTTGTATTGTTAAGCTTGATTTGTATAAATTATTAGAAAATATTGACCTATATACTAGTATTTTGGTCAATATTTTCTATCAATAGCAAAAGATTTTGAATAAAATGCAGTTGTATACACACGTGATTTATTGTCAGACACCGAATTCAAATAATTTCCCCTCAAAACTTTCAAGCTGCTTTCAATAAATTTATAGATTAAATAAACCGACAGGATTAATCTAAATAACCTAGTTGAACCTTTAATACAATTAACCTTGAACGACGATGTAAAAATGCTAATTTAATTTAGCGCTTCTCTAAAGTATGCTAATTTTTAATTTCTCTATTAGGGCAAGTATATGGAAATAGAGTTTGATTTCAAAGGTTGTCCTGTTGGGGGATCAATCACAAATTGTAAGTTGCCACTTTCAATTTTCATATTATTCATTAATTCGTTAATTAAAATAGTTAAATGTTGCTCAGGCTTAAGAATATTAGAAAAGCAAGAAAAATTTTAAAAATTTAGTTTCGCGAAAATTTTTGCGGTTTTTTAATTATTTATTTTCTCTAAATTTTATTTCAAGACTAAGATAAAAACCATCAACAACAAACTCTGCTTATGTTACAAATGTCGACTTTTTGGACTTAAGAAGCTTTAAAGAACAATGATACTTCACAAATAATTTTAAATTTTATCTTAAATGTTAATCCTAAGAAACTGTTAATACTATATAATCAATTAAATAAATAATCCCAAGAAACTGAAGCTGTAAGATATTACTTGATAAAAAACTTCATTCGCTTAAAAAATATACAAAATTGAAATAACAGTCGACATCTTTCAAGCTGTCGAAAATAGGCGGCCCCTATCTAGACTTTGCTGGCATGAATGAGAAGAAGCAAAAGTGATTTGAAATAATAGAAAACATAAGCCAACAAAAAATTGACAAATAAAGGTGAGAAAGAAAATTAGAAAAATCACAGTAGCCGAGTGAGAAAAAAAGATGGAAAACAGAACAAAAACCTACATTGGCCGAAAGAGGCTAATCAGGGTTAAATGCATTTCCACGCGCTATCGAGAGGTGGTGAGGAAGTAAGGTCGTTAACAAGGGAATCGGTATTTATGTGAATAAAACAAGATTCGAAGGCACCAAGATGAGCTGATGTGGCTGGGAGGGGGAATAATTTTGGCATTGTCGAAGTTGAATTTATACCCAAGAATCCAACAATGTGCAGCAATTTATGATTTCTCATATTCACATCTAGCAAGTCTTAAAAATGGGAGCTTATTTTTGATCACTTGAAACATGTCGACTGTTAATTTACGTTTTGTTTTTTTTGGAACCGAATGAAGTTTTTAATTAAGTAATACTACATCTTTCATTAGTTTTATATTGTTTCATTTATTAGTATTTTGTTATAAAAATAAACAATCTTATTTTATTCGAATTAGATATTTTTACGGAATATTTTTCCTGGGGATTAGGTTCGTCTGCATCGAGTTCCATAACATATAATAATTCAGCAAAAAAACATGTAGTAAGTATTAGAATAAAAATTTAAAATTAACATCGTAAATATCAAAACAAAGCCATTCCTGATTTGGCATGATTAGTATAAGTATTAAAATAAACAATCTTATTTTATTCGAATTAGACGTTTTTACGGAATATTTTTGCTGGGGGCTAAGTAAGTCAGCATAGAATTCCACAGCATGCACTAATTGCAAACTTGTAATAAGAATTAAAATAAAAATTTAAAATTAACATCGTAATTAACAAAACAAACTAATTTCTGATTTGGTATGATTAGTATAAGTATAAAAGTTTTTAAGCGTTTACTTCGTTACATTTTATGCGATCAATATTTAAAAAAAAAAACGTTTCGATTCAAAGATTATTTCTAACTCTCATAAATGAAAACTTTTATTCGAATGCTATTTAAATCTATATTTTATTATTCACTTTCCTTTTTATTTTATCTCCTTTCTAGACCTCTTGGAAAAGGCAAGTATGAATATTTATCATTTTATTGGTGAAAATTTTTATGCGAATTTGAAGAATTTATTTCTTTAACGTAATATAATTTAAGCAAGAATTATTTTTGCGTGATCTTTTTTTTATATAATATTATATTTTCAGGTGAATTTTTTATTTAAATCTATTACTACATCCTATTTTTGTTGTACAAAATCCTTCTTCATTTTAAATTTATTATGGGAATAGATATTTTTGTTAGATATTAATTAACCCACTGGCGGTTTAGTAAGCGTGCAAAATAGGGAGGAAAATTTTCCTTTATACACTTTTCTTCCTATCTAATAACACGAAAAAACTGTTTTTGCTATGCGGAGAAGACTTCAGGTTAAAATACGACTTCTTACAAGCAGAAGCGTCAGTGGATTAAATGCAATTTTAAAACCAAACATTATTATCGCAACGTATCACAAACACAATTATAAAGATTTTGTGCTTCCCTGTTTACTAGAATTAATTTTAAAAACTAAAAAGTAAATAAATTCAAGTAAAGTGCAAAGCACACTTTCAAAATTTTTTACCACCCTCGAATCACCACCTTATTCACCAGACTTAAAATCAAATGAATTTTCCGTTTTGCTCAGCATGGAGACAAAAGTTTGTGTTAAACCTCATAAGACTTAGGCATAACTCGAAACATCCTTATGCAAGGAATGGAACAAATTGAAAAAAAAATTTGGTAAAATGTCCGTACTACGTGGTAAGGACACTTCTGGTAAAAAAAAACAAAAAAAAAACAAGAACATAATTTTGATAATAAAACTAAAATTTACGGTATTTAAACCATTCATCGTAATTTTTCCGTTCATAGGGTAACGGTTTATCGAAAATTCAGCTTCTCAAAATTTTAGTTCTTATTACCGCACATGTAATAAAAATACAAAAAAAATAATTAACCTAGTAAATGGTTTTTATGCCATACTCTTAGTTATCATGATAAAAATAGCAAATTTTACCACATTTACTAAAGTTTATTACATATTATAGAACCATATTTTATTGTTTATTTGGCCAAAATCTTTAGCAATGCGCTGCGATGAAAATTAATGAAATTTCTGATGTTCCCATAGAGCCAGAAACACTGTAAATTTTACCATATTCTGGTTTTGACCATACTTTTTTTTTCTCAGACAACAACCTTGACCATACTTTTTTTCTCAGTGAACTTTTTCTCTCGTTCTTGGTAACTGAACTTGGGCTTCAGCTGAAAGAAAACATAGAGAAATTTTTGCAGCTTTTATTTTAGTCAGAAAAGTTATCTCTCTGTTTGTTAATAAATATGCGATCTGTAGAACTTAATGTTTTTATGATTTTCTTTTCAAAATTTGATATTTTATTCAGAATTAAAATTATAGCGTTATTTAAAATAAAGGAAATAAATTTTATACTGTCTTTTATTTGCTAATAGTATTGATTTAGTAATGAAACTTCCTTCCCAAAATAAACCGACTTTATTCCAAAATAAACCGACCGACTTTCAATCTTTGGCTTTTGTATGGTTTTACTATGCAATAACAATCTAAGCACATTAAAATATAATTTTTGTCTTTCAATATTGTATTATTATTTTTAGATGAAAATGTTTGACCTGAAAGAAAGAGAAACTAATCTTTACAATAAGCCGTTTAAAAATTTTTTTACTAATTTGTAAGTTATTAAACTGAAGTTGTTTTAATGATTAAATGATCATTTATTTAAATGATAAAATTTGGCTGTTATTTTAAATATCCTAATTATTTTTTTAATAATTTTTCAAGTGTTGTAAATGAATTATAATTTATTTTGAATTGGNTGAAAATTTTTATGCGAATTTGAAGAATTTATTTCTTTAACGTAATATAATTTAAGCAAGAATTATTTTTGCGTGATCTTTTTTTTATATATAATATTATATTTTCATGTGGATTTTTATTTAACTCTATTCTACTTCCTATTTTTGTTGTACAAAATCCTTTCTCATTTAAAATTAATTATGGGAATAGATATTTCTGTAAGATATTAACTAAATACAATTTAAAGCCAAACAATATTATCTCTACATATCAAAAACACAATTATGCTTCCTTGTCTACTTCCTTGTCTACTAAAATTAATTGAAAAACCAAAAGATAAATAAATTCAAGTAAAGTGCAAAGCACACTTTCATGATTTTCTTAACGCCCTCGAATCACCACCTTATTCACTAGACTTAAATTCAAATGTTTCTTCCGTTTAGCCCATCTTGGAAAAAAGAGTTTTTGTTAAACCTCATAAGACTTAGGCATAACTTGAAACATACTAATGCAAGAAACGGAGCAAATTGAACAAAAATTCTGGTTAAATTACAGTACTGCATGGTAATGACATTTCTAACAATGACACAATTTTGATAATAAAACTAAAATTTTCGGTATTTAAGCCATTCATCGTAATTTTTGCGTTCTTAGGGTAACAGTTTATCGATAATTCAGCTTCTCAAAATTATAGTTCGTATTACCGCACATGTAATAAAAATCCAACAAAAAAAAATAATAATCTAGTAAATGGTTTTTATGCCATGCGCTTAGTTATCATGATAAAAATAGCAAATTTTACCACATTTACTAAAGTTTGTTACATATTATAGAACCATATTTTATTGTTTATTTGGCCAAAATCATTAGCAATGCGCTGCGGTGAAAATTACTGAAATTTCTGATGTTCCCATAAATCCAGAAACACTGTAAATTTTACCATATTCTGGTTTTGACCATACTTTTTTTCTCAGTGAACCTTTTTTCTCGTGGGCCTCGGCTGAAAGAAAACATAGAGAGATTTTTACAGCTTTAATTTTAGTCAAAAATGTTATCGCTCTGATTGCTAATAAATATGCAATTTGTATTACATAATGTTTTTATGTTTTTCCTTTCAAAATTTGATATTTCAACCAGAATCAAAATTATATCGTTATTTATAATAAAGAAAGTTTTAAACAGTCTTTTATTTGCTAATTTTATTGATTTAGTAAAGAAACTTCCTTCCCGAAATAAGCCAACTTTAAGCAATATTTCAATTATTTATCTAGTGAATCTAGTTTCATTCTTTGACTTTGGTATGGTTTTACTATGCAATAACAATCTAAGCACATTAAAATATCATTTTTGTCTTTTAATATTGTATTATATTTTTAATTGATGATGTTTGACTTGTAAGAAAGAGAAACTTATTTTTTTAACAATTTTTCAACCGTTGTAAATGAATTATAATTTATTTTGAATTGGTGTTGTTGTTTAGTCTAGGGTTGTGGTTCAGGCTCAAGGGGAGAGAAATTTTCATATATTTTATCAACTGCTCAGTGGTGCAGACGTTCATTTATTGAGTGAGTATTTTAATTCTTTTTTTCCTATTCTAATTAATTATTTCCTTTCCTTAAGAGGCCTCTTTCCTCTCGGCCGAACTCAACTGTTGAAGGGGCGGAGACAGTGGAGGAATATTCCAAATATCTTTTGAATTCTCTTACTTTAATTTTCATAAGTAAACTGATTTTGAGTATTTATTCGGCTTTGTATTTCACAGCATGTAAAATGCATGTCCGTAGCCCAACAAGAAATTGAAATAAAAAGCATTCACAATTTTAAATTATCTACCAGTGTTTTATGATAAAATTATGCTAATACAATTCAGTAATAAACAGTTTTTGAAAAGTAATTAATTACTGTACAGTTCGCCTTTCAGTGAAACGACCCAGGTTCGAATCTCAACTGTGGCTGGTTGATGCTTATTCTGCTCTCGGCTAGTATCGACCACAGTGATGACGTAAAATATCCTTAATGGTAGGTGGACCATAATTTATAATCTCCTTGCCGTCAGGCTAACAGTTGAAAGTTTCGTGGTTTTAGTTTCCACGTAACGCAAATGTGGGTTAGTTCCATAAAAAAAGTCTTCCACGGCGGCTAGTTTGTCTAGTTGATGAGGGAGTTCTCTTGTCTTGTGGGTTGGGTTAAAAATTATAGGGCTACGGAAATGAACTAACTCAAAATTGAGTAGGTTGTTCAACGTCGGTTACAGAGTAAAATAAAATAAATCGTGCACAGTTGTTTTTAGATTTTTGATAAATATCTTCGTTTCGGAGCCAATTAAGGTTAAAAGAAATTTTTATCATCATCCAAATCAACTTTCATCAGTTTAAATTGTAATAAAATTATAATTTAAAAAATCTGAAAACTGACAAATGTGTAGTTTTAAATTAGCTTCTCAAAACCACAAACCTGTTTTTTTTCTTTGCTTTTTGAGGAAAAACCCATCGAAGTTCTTAAAATTAGTAAGCGATAGCTCTTTTATTCTAATAAAATGACCACCTTAGTTTCAATTTTCTTAAAAGATGTGCTTCCGAATAATACGTTGTCATCAAAATATATTTTATTAATATATATATTTTTAAATACGAATTTTGAGACATGTTTATTTTCTTAATTATGGTTTTGACTTGTCTCCATTTTCTTAAATGCGCATTTTCAGCAATGCGCATTTTCTTAAATATTATTTTTCAGTTGTGTTTATTTTTTAAATACACCATTTTGAGCTATGTTTGATTTCTTAACCCTTCTGAAGGCCGTGGTAAGTATACTTACCACCACCTTTTACCACTTTTAATTTAGGTTTCCATTTTTCAATAACTTCAGCTTTCTTGAAGTGAGTTTGAATAAAATTGGTAACCATTTATCACTTTTAAAAAACGCATTAAAGTTATAAAATGCATAATTCCTTTTGAAGTTTGCAGCATTTAAGGAATTTATTTTACAAATAAAGAAAAATAAAAGTCAGTAAGTTCCTAATAGGTCATGTTAAATATATTCACCACCAAAAAAATGGCATTTTCATAAACTAAATGAGTTGTTTTTCCTTTATATCAATTACTGTTCTTAAAACAATTTCAATTCCAAAAATACTTTAATTTACCTTTACTAGAAATAAAGGGCCCATTAGAGGGTTAATTACGGTTTTACGCTGTGTGCATTTTCTTAAATATGTATTTTGAGCAATGATTATTGTTGTAAAGGAGCATTTTAAGCTATTTTTGTTTTGTTTCTTTAAAATACGGTTTTGAGCTGCTCCCAATTTTTTTAATACGCATTTTGAGCTGTGTCCATTTTCTTTAATGTACATTTTATGCTATGTTTGTCCTTTTTAATACGCATTTTTAATACGTCCTTATTAAATACGCATTTTGAGGAATGTTAATTCTCTTAAATACGCATTTTGAGCAGTGTCTATTTTCTTAAATACGCTTTGTTAACTGTGTCCATTTTATAATTTACGCACTTACAGCCATGACCAGAATGAAAAGTTCATCGATGAATTTTTATTACTTACTACCAATGAATCTTTATTCTCTCTGGAATAATGTGTATTTTTTTTGCTCCTTTTTTTACAGAAAGTTTGAAATTGCAACGTAACGCGGACAAATACCAGTTCTTGCATGAGAGCCGGTGTTTGCAAGCCAACAACATCGACGATAAGACCTCTTTCCTCACGACAAAGGTAACTTTATAATGCTTAATATTTTTCCTTTTTTTCAAACAGTAATACTATTCATTAAGTTTTAAATATCGGCTTTTTTGTATTCCTCAACTTTTCGAATTTCTTTAAACTTATTTGAATTATTATATATCGTTTTCGAAAAAGGTACTATCATTAGTTGAACAATTTCAGAAATGCATGACTTTTTTTACTATCTTCTCAAACTCCTCAAAGTATAACATGAGGCTTCCAAATGTAAGTAAGCAAAGTATAATTATAAATTAGAGATAAGCAGAACAAATTTATAAGTTTAAATTGTAAAGTAAATTGGATAAAATAGTTAGGTTTTCAGTATATTTTACAAACAAGGATAAAACAGGTGGAACCTGAGTGTCTCAGTTTTCGTTTTCTTTGACCTGAATATAAATTATTGTAAAGTATTAAAATTCAAGATTACAATATTACAATAAAATATTAAATATTAATTTAGCAAACGACCTTTTCAAATGTTTGCGTTTCAGAAAATATTTAGCAATTTCGTTCAAATTTCTGTCATAAGAATTTACAATAAGATATTATATTGTCGATAGATAAAAAATTTATAGACTTCTCTTACAAAAATTTAAGGTGTTTTTGAGGTTTATTTGAACTCGAATTAAAAAAAATCATCCTTCTAAGGTTTATAATCAAAGTGAATGAAGTTGCTTTATTCATTCTCGAAATCTACAGTAGAGCACAACCAGCTTAGGTTTTTTTAAGGTAAACAGGTTATTTTCTCTACACTTCAAGCAAATAACTATGTTTGAGTTGTGAATAATTTCTCCCAATTTCAACTAAAAGTACAGCTGAGCTAAATATGAGATTGATTTTTCTGAGGTGAAAATAATTGCTGAAATGTAGATTTATTAATGATTTTATTTTTGGTGCAAGGCATTAGACTTAAGTGTAAACATCTACCTTAAGTGTATTTTTACTTCTAAAACACCTTAATTTTAGTAAGGGTAAAAATATAAGTATTTTCAATAATTGTTTTACTGGTCATAGTTTGCTGTTATGCAAGTTATCTACATTACAAATAATTTTCGGTGGAAATTTTTTGCGCTGTACAAATCAAAGAAATTTAGACTTTTTAAATTTGTTTTTTTGTTATTCTTGCCACCGTTTTATTTTGAAAGATGCTATGAGGGCAATAAACTTCTGAATACATTATTACCCAATATAATTCAGCATTTTTTGTTTAAAAGTATATTTCATTTTAAAAAATTTGATTTGAGTGAAGTATTATGTCTTGGTTAGACAGAGATAGAAACTTGAAACTTTAACAAGCACGGGTATTCCTGCCGCCTGAAAACTGATAAAAATGTCTGGAAAGAGCAGTGATAAAAGTTTTAGTATGAAAATATTCCTAAATAATACCGGAAGTGCTCAAGAAGACCCAGGATCTGGAGGACTTCTCATTTTCTTAACAAATGATAAGCGTAGAATATCATACTTAGCACGAAAAATATAATCATTGGAGATCTGAAGAATTAGCAAAATTTCCTCCTCTCCCCATCTTACTATAGAAACATTTTACCCTGACGACTTTTTGTTGCAACAAGACAATGCTAGTCCTCTCACTTCAAAATGAACCTCAAAATGGCTAGATGATAATGGACAAAATATTTTAAAGTAGCCTGTTTCATCCCTTGCTTTCAGTCTCTTAGAGAATTTGTGGGGAATGATAAAAAATGAATTTGAGGAATCAGAAAAAAAAAAACAATTATAGAATTGAAAGATAGATTTGGAAATAATAGGGACAAAATAAATTTAACGCTGTTCAGCATTTCGTAGAATTTATAACAAGACTACTTTAAAGACTTGTTCATGCTGGAAAGATTTTGCTACTGATTTATCAGTATAATGTTGTATACAGATGAGACATGAGAAAAAAGAACTTGCTAGTGACTTATCAGTTTAGTGTTGTATTAAGATAAGACATGAGAAAGAATTTGCTACTGATTTATCAGTATAATGTTGTATACAGATAAGAAATGAGAAAAAAGAATCTGCTACTGATTCGTCAGTGTAATATTGTATTACGATAAGACAGGAGAAAAATTTTGCTACTGATTTATCAGTATAATGTTATATGAAGATAAGATATCTTAAAATATACTTTGATTTCTGAATAATATTTTTATTTATTGCTTCTAAACATCTTATCCGTTATTAAAAAAAGCTTTTTTTGATAGCAGGGAATAAAAGAAAGAAAGAAATGTTTTACTGTGTTTCAAAAGTTTTCATTACACAATTTTTTTTAAAAATATTTTTTTTTCTTAACATGAAAATCTAAACATTTGTAACAAAATCTAAACACTTGCGTCTGAGTAACGAAAGATATGCAGGCAGATTTTTAATAGTTTGTCTACTAAATAATTCAATCTAAATAGTTTTTTTTAATGTTATTTAACTGGCTACTGACTGCTTCAGTGCAGAAATTATATTGTATACCTCTTTATTGCAGAGGGCTTTGGAGATGCTAGGCTTCAGCGCGGAGGAAATGCATTCAACTTTTCAAGTGGCTTCATCAGTGCTCAAATTAGGGAACGTTCAATTTCTGCCAAGGGCAAATATGGACGGAACGGAGAGTTGTTCTCTGGTCAACGACTATGGTGAGTATACAGGGTGTTAAATAATCACCGCTCTTGATGCATACATTTAGAATGCTTGAAAAAAATCATAGTTAAAAATGTATGCACATTATTGATCGCAAATAAATATTTAAACGAGAAAAAAGGAGAAACGTTTTTAAAATCTGGCAAATCACTATTAAAGAAGGTAGATTTAAAAACACCAAAACCTGTTTGATTGTCGATTGATACTTCATGTTGAATCGTTAGTAATCTCCTTTCTGATTCTTGACTGCACCAAAGAAGTTTTGATATTTTTACAACCGCCTTCCTTTATAGTGATTCTCTGGAATTTGAATAAATATTTTGTTTTTGCTAGTCTAAATAATATTCTTTTGATGTTGGGCATATTCAACGTCACTATATGAACAAATCTTTATGTGTCCAAAGGGTTCTATAATCTTCGGAAATAAAATGAGTCTTCTTTTTCCTAAAGCAATACAATAAAAATAATTACAAGAAACTGTCACGCAGTTAGTTTTGAATCAAGTTATTGTCAGTAAGTTGTTTAATTTGTGACTTTCTAACAAATTTCATGTTTGATTCGATTAATTTCGATCCAATGAGTAACTTTTTATTAATTACGTTGGAAATCCTTATTTTTAAAATTCTTTGCTTAAAAATCTGTAAAATGTAATTCCTTGAATAAAGCAAACGTAATGGAGCAAAATGTGTTTTATTCACATTTTTAAAATTTATTCATACCAGGTGTTCCCTTTAATTTCAAATTGAATTCTATACTTGAAGATCTAAATGAAGAAAAAAAATGCATTGACAAAATCATCTTTGCAGCTTTCTCGCTAAAATGCTAATTTGTAACCTCTAATGTGCTAATATATTTTGTAACCTTAATTTTGACCAAAATTCAATGTCCTTGCATTACCTAAATATTAGATTACTTGATTACCTGGTATTTCTTGATTACTGAACACCTTGCAAAATACGGGTGATAATTACAGAACACCTTGCATAATGAGGGCTGTCATTATGGAACAAGAACACAAATTTTAATTTTTAAAATTAAATATTTCTTACTCAGGTATAAGGTGCAAGCTTGCTTACATTTTATTTATTTATTTATTCTTTCTTTCAGAAATGTATGAAATAGCTGAACTGTTGCAGGGAGATGTTTCAGTTCTGCAAGCCGCTCTAACACAAAGAACCGTCGAGACGAGGCATGATGTGATAGTCACGGATTTGTCTGCGACGGAGGTATTTTACTGCTGCCATCTGTTGCTCTGTAAATGAACTAAATATGCTCCATATTTGAAGAAATTATATAATAAGTATAGAAAAAATTTAAAAAAATTAAAATTTGTTTAAATAAATAAAATAAAAAAATTTTAATAATGCTTTAGTAAATTTATTCCCAATGAAGGCTACCTTTTTTAAAATTTAAAATGGTGGATTAAAAAAATTATAATATTAAAAATGATTAATTATATGTTTATTCTGTAGACATTCTCAGCATTATTTGAAAAATTCGCTCCGTATTTCTTAATTTTAAAAAAAATCATTGATTTTTTATTTTTTTATTTTATGGGTTTCTTAATTTTTCTATATTTAAGTAATATTTCGTAAATCGTAAAAGAAAAAAAATACTTATTATTTTACAACACACAGAATTTATGCACATTTTAAAATTTAACTATTTTAAAATATGTTTTGTTGAATCATTTTGGTTGAACTGTGCATTTTATAGATTATTAAAACAAACTCAATGTAAATAAAAATAGGGTTTTCTGTTTATTCACAATTTAAATAGACTTATAACTTATGGAGAGTTATTTCCGATCTTATCATCATGATATCTAATTTTATATAACTGTCTTTAACAGCTATATCGCAACTATAAGTACTAAAACTTGGCTACTATAGAAGAGTAGTTTTCTAAAATAGTATTTTACTGTAGTAGCTATATCTTTGTGTAAAAATTTTGTTATTTAATTTTTTATCATTGTTAGTATACAAAAAACTAAACTCAGTAGCGCGACAGCCACTGTGTGTTAATATACTATATGACTATTATTCAAGACATTGAGGAACATTACATTTGTTTACACTAAGGATTATGCTCTGTAAAAAATTCCGGATCAAATTTTGGTAAAAACTACTGGTGCTTTTAACAGCAAATTCCTTTTTTACCGTAAAATATTACTGAACAAAAAATCTGATTGACCATTATATTTATGCAGTAATATTTACTGTAAAATCACTGGGGTCACTATGATTAAATAAATATTTCTGTAAAATATACGATGAATAAAATTAGGGTAAAATTGGATTTTACAGTAAAAAGGATCTAGTGGATGCTTAACCCAAGGTGCCAATACTTTTTACCGTAATTTAATCCTAAATTTTTTACAGAGTACTAGGGTATTGTAGGGTTAAGGAAGAATGATAGATTTAAATTCCATCTTTCTAAACCAAGAGTTTTTTTACGTAAGAAAATCCAATGATTATTTTACGTTACCCTAAATGAAATTCAACATATGCCATTAGGGCTTACATTTAAAAGTTATCTAGGTAAATATGAATATTGTTCACATTTTTACTATATTTACATTTGGCCTTGTTATGTAGGCAAATTAATTAATGTTTTCGATTTATTTTTTGCTTGTAATCGAATGAAGAGTTCATAAGGAGCTATATCAATCACTATCAAACAGTTTAAAAATGTTTGCTTCGAAAGTATAACTTTGTTCTATCGACTTCATTTTGGTTTCATTCGATTCAGTATAAAACAACACATAGAACTTTACTTGACTAGATAACAATACCTATTGAGTAGATAGGCATAAGTCAAAATTCGTACTGTTTTTCCATAAAATCTTAAAAACGTTTAAACTATTAATCCTATCGACTTGAGATTATTAGTTTCATCCCATTGAGCTTAAAAAACGCATCAGAAATAAAACCTCATTTGTCTAGACAGCAAATCTTCTCTTTTTACATCTATGTTCCGTTTAGTATACGTCTTAGGATGCTATACCGTGTTGAAATCTTTCATAGCAAATTTCGTTTCATCTTCATTGGTAGTTTAAAATTTGAAGTGTAGAAAAAAGCAAGTTCATGTAAACCTGGCGTTTAGTATGAAGTTTTAATTTCTGATTTTTTTTTTTTTACAAAATTTCAAAATGCAGGCAAATTATGGCAGGATTACTTCCTTATGACATTTTGCTGAGTATTTGTCTGATTTTTGATGTTTTGCAAAGAAAGAATTTTAGCATTTGAAACTTTATGCTTTATGATAAACTATCGACTTACATGAACTATTTTTTTTTCTATGGCTTAAATTTTAAAGAACTAATCAAGGTGAAACAGAATTTGTGATGAAACGTTGCTCCAGTAATAGCGTCTTCTTAAATGATCCAATACCTTGTACTAAAGATAAAAATGTTCTTCTTTCACAAAGTGCCATTATATTAGCCTACATAAATTTCTAAGAACAATTTTGAATGTTTTTCAAGACAAAATTTTAATGTGGCAAATAAATGCATTTTTTTTTTACCTTGGTAGGAGTAATAAACACAAAAATTATTATAATATTTAATCTTATATATTTTTTGTGTTTTTGTTGCAGGCCAATTATGCTAGAAATGCCTTATGCAAATCTTTGTATAGTCGCTTATTCAATTGGCTAGTAAACAAAATCAATGAAACAATCAGGGTAAGATATTTATAACTTTGAAATATTCTTCATAATCATTCATGTCTCGTTACATTTAAATTTTATACTTTGTTATTCAAGTATACATGGGATTCATGCACTTGGGATGTTTTGACAACTGACTGACAAAATCTTTTTTAAGAGTATCATCTGCAAATCAGGTTCAATCTTTTTCAGTGACAATGTGATTAGAAAATAATGCATATAATGTATTTAGTCTCTTTCAAAGTAATTTTTAAGTGATTAAAATAATGCATATAATGTATTTAGTCTCTTTCAAAGTAATTGTTAAGTGATTGAAATAATGCATAAAATGTATTTAGTCTCTTTCAAGGTAATTGTTAAGTGATTGAAATAATGCATATAATGTATTTAGTCTCTTTCAAAGTAATTGTTAAGTGATTAAAATAATGCATATAATGTATTTAGTCTCTTTCAAAGNTTTGAATGTTTTTCAAGACAAAATTTTAATGTGGCAAATAAATGCATTTTTTTTTTACCTTGGTAGGAGTAATAAACACAAAAATTATTATAATATTTAATCTTATATATTTTTTGTGTTTTTGTTGCAGGCCAATTATGCTAGAAATGCCTTATGCAAATCTTTGTATAGTCGCTTATTCAATTGGCTAGTAAACAAAATCAATGAAACAATCAGGGTAAGATATTTATAACTTTGAAATATTATTCATAATTATTTATTTCTTGTTACATTTAAGTTTTATACTTTGTTATTCATGTATACATATGGCACTTGGGAGGTTTTGACAATTGACTGACAGAATCTTTTTTAAGAGTACCATCTGCAAATCAGGCTCATTCTTTTTCAGTGACAATGTGGTTAGAAAGTAATCCATATAATGTATTTAGTCTCTTTCAAAGTAATTGTTAAGTGATTAAAATAATGCATATAATGTATTTAGTCTCTTTCAAAGTAATTGTTAAGTGATTGAAATAATGCATATAATGTATTTAGTCTGTTTCAAAGTAATTGTTAAGTGATTGAAATAATGCATATATTGAAAATAATGCATATAATTTATTTAGTACCTTTCAAAGTTATTGTTAAGATAAATTACAAAAAAAAACATTTTTTATTTGCCAAATTCTTTTTGTTATGCATACAAAAAGCACTGTTGGATATAGAATGTCGTATTAAATGCGCTTCTTTGTAATGAACTAGCTGTTTGTGCGCATTCGACCTTTTTCCTAAATTATCTTAATTTAGTATTGATTCTATTAGAAACCGTATTAAAATAATTGTTTCATTGAAATTTTCTGATCTGGTTAATAAATTGCCGATCTCTTCAAGTTAGTCGCTAGATAACTAAACAATGATTGTAAAGCTGAATTTGTACCAAAATGCTAACTTTCTTTTGTTACGCATCCAAAAAAGTACTGTTGAATGTAAAATGTTGCATTAGATGCTCTTCTTTATAATGAACTGGCTGTTTGTGCGCATTTAAACTTATCCTTTTTTTACTGCATTATATTAATTTAATGTTGATTCCATTAAAACCGTAATGACATAACTATTTTATCATAATTTACTGATTTGGTAAATAAGTTGACCATATCTGAAATTAGCTGCCAAATAAGTAAACTTTGATAGAAGAGCTAAATTCGTGCCTATTGAATTATTATTCTCGACAATAATTAATAAAAAAAATCAAATGAAGCATAATTTTTATCAATTAAAGCAGCGATTCAAAAGTTTAGCGTACAAGAAGTTTATGAAATTCAAACGTAATTTTCAATATTTATGAAGTCCTCCACCTCAAAATTTGAGATTTTTTTAAAAGAGAAGAAGAAAAAATTTTCAAACTGAAGAACTTTTAAAAATATTTGAAAACAAAATTAAAAAGGCGGAAATTGAAGTACGGAAGAGATATAATTTCTTCATCAGCTCATACGATTATATCAGCAAAAAAGAGTGCTTTCTAATATTGTTTTAATATAGCCAAAGAAAAATATATCAATACAATAGTGGGAGGAGCGCTAAAAAATATCGGTCTTTTTTCTTTTATCCTTTTTGTCTTTATTGTGCATTTTTGTATTAATTAGTATTCAACTGTAAAAATTTAAATAAATCGCCTAATAAAATTCAAAAAATTTTTTCTCCCATTCTGTTTTACGTTTGACAGTAATTTGTTTCAAAAGTGACCTTCAAAATCAATATGTGATAATTATCTCATAAAAATTGTGTTCTAATTCTTATGTTGTTTTCATAGGCAAAACGAATGGGTAAAAGAAAATGTATAGGAATGTTAGACATTTATGGTTTTGAAGTCCTGGAGGTGAGATTTGTTTATTCTGAAAAATTCCTATTTCAAATAATAATCACCTTTATAATATATACTTGAGATTCTTGTTCAATATAAAATTGTTCTACAAAACATATAATGGGTTAATAAGTAATTATGTAAAATAAGCAATAATATATAATAATTAACTATGTATGATAAGTAATTATTAATGATAAGTAATGCAAAATAATGTGATAAAAAATAAGTCATGGATAAATGAGTAAAAGCACATCGTAACAATATTGAAATTGTATACATATTTTTTAGTCTCTGTTTCATATTAATTTAAACTTAAAAACAAAATTGGTGTTAATGACACATGACTAGGTATAGGCAAAATTGAACAAACATGTGATCTAATACAGTATAAGACTATATTGATTACTTGCAACCGTAATTAAATTTTTTATATTTGATTACAACCGCAGTCGTGATTACAATAATCGATTATAGAAATCAATTAATCTTAATGGTAATTACAATTAATCATAATTTCGATTACAACGATAATCATGATTGTTTTAATAGCAAAACAAAACGATTTTAGGTAATTAATTAGAAATAATAAAAATAAATTATTGCATGTAATCATAAGAATAAATCAAAATATATGATTATGAAAAAATACGAGGAGGTATATGACTACATATAATCATGATTACCTGCATTCTTATATTTTAAACACTTGCAATTATAACAATAATTATTTTAATTATAGGAGTACGGGTAATCACGATTGTATGTAATCATATATTTTGATTACTTGTAATTTTGATTACATGCTATTGTTTAATTTTTTGTGATTTCGAGTAATCATGATTGCATGCAATCAGTGATGATTAATTCCAATAGTGTAATTAGTAATTAATTATATAGTAATTATTATTTGTAATCAAATACAAATACAATCGAATATTTTAATCAACAAAAATTTTTTTTGGGAATCTGGAGTGAAATATTCATCTGTTATATTTTATAGAGGAGATCCCAATAAACATCTATTCATCAAGGTAACAAAAATCTATTTTAAAAAAAATTCAACTCTTTTAGCCCACCAAAGAGCACAATTTGTTGAAATTGTATTTATAATTTTAATCTGGTTTTTACTCTCTCGGCTACTGTGGTTTTTTAATTTTGTTTCACACCTTTATGTTTCCATTTTCAAATCACTTTTTCTTCTTAACTTTCACGTTTTGCAAATTTTGAAAATAGTCATCTGTTTTTGAGATCTTGAAACTTGTCAACTGTTATTTCGAATTTGTATATATTTTTGAAGCGAATTAAGTTTTTAGTAAAGTAATAAAAATGTATGTAAGAAAAAGTTTTTTAAGTACATTCTATAACAAAAAAATCGACGCACAAAGAAGCAATCATCCGATTGCTTTGAAATTTCGTATGCATAAATGTTTTGAACAGATATGGCTGAAATGATGCCGACTGGGGACGTATAATCTTTAGCGATGAATCCCGCTTCCAACTGTGTCCTGACGATCATCGAAGACATGTTTGGAGAAGCACAGGGCAGAGGGGGGATCCTGCCTTCACTATTGCANTCATGATTGTTTTAATAGCAAAACAAAACGATTTTAGGTAATTAATTAGAAATAATAAAAATAAATTATTGCATGTAATCATAAGAATAAATCAAAATATATGATTATGAAAAAATACGATGAGGTATATGACTACATATAATCATGATTACCTGCATTCTTATATTTTAAACATTTGTAATTATAATAACAATTATTTTAAATATAAAAGTACGGGTAATCACGATTGTATGTAATCATATATTTTGATTACTTGTAATTCTCATTGCATGTTATTTTTTAATTTTTTGTGACTTTAAGTAATCATGATTGCATGCAATCATTGATGATTAATTCCAATAGCATGATTAGTAATTAGTATTTGCAATCAATTACAAATTTAACAGAATATTTTAATCAACAAAAAAATTGCTTTTCGAGTCTCGATTTAAATATTCAGCTGTTATATTTTATAGAAATCCCAATAAACATAGATATTCATCAACGTAATAAAAATCTATTTCAAAAAAATTCAACTCTTTCAGCCCACCAAAGATCACAATTTGTTGAAACACCTCGTGTTTTTATAATTTTAACCTGGTTTTTTTCCCTCTCGGCTACTGTGGTTTTTTAATTTTGTTTCACACCTTTATGTTTCCATTTTCAAATCACTTTTTCTTCTTAACTTTCACGTTTTGCAAATTTTGAAAATAGTCATCTGTTTTTGAGATCTTGAAACTTGTCAACTGTTATTTCGAATTTGTATATATTTTTGAAGCGAATTAAGTTTTTAGTAAAGTAATAAAAATGTATGTAAGAAAAAGTTTTTTAAGTACATTCTATAACAAAAAAATCGACGCACAAAGAAGCAATCATCCGATTGCTTTGAAATTTCGTATGCATAAATGTTTTGAACAGATATGGCTGAAATGATGCCGACTGGGGACGTATAATCTTTAGCGATGAATCCCGCTTCCAACTGTGTCCTGACGATCATCGAAGACATGTTTGGAGAAGCACAGGGCAGACGGGGGATCCTGCCTTCACTATTGCACGCCACACCGGCCCTCAACAAGGCATTATGGTCTGGGGTGCCATTTCCTTTGACAGCCGGACCCCTTTAGTCGTCATTAGAGGTACACTTACAGCACAGCTGTACGTCGACGACATCCTAAGACCTGTTTTGCTACCGTTCTTTTTGCAGCTCCCTGGGCTGGTTTTTCAGCAAGACAATGCCAGACCACATATGGCACGTGTTGCTATGAGCTGTCTGCAAGCTTGTCAGACTCTTCCTGCCAGATCACCAGATCTCTCTCCCATCGAGCATGTGTGGGATATGATGGGAAAGTGATTGCATCTGGCATGGAATGTTGATGACCTCGTTCGACAATTGGATCGAATTTGGCAGGAAATACCGCAAGAGACCATCCGGGAGCTTTATCGATCCATGCCACGCAGCGTGGCAGCTTGTATCCAGGCTAGAGGCGGGGCAAAACCTTATTGAACTTGTTACTGTAACTCTGCAAAAAATCATTCAATTGTTCTGAAATTTTAATCATTTACTATTCTGTACATTGTCTTCCTATCCACCAATTTTCGTTTAAATCGGAGGACTCCTTCTTGGTGCGTCGAATTTTTTGTTATAGAGTGTATTTATACATTCAAAACTCTATTTCACAAGAAATAGAATAGAAAGATATTGAAAAATGTTAGTTGAAATTTGAATGCGTCTTTATTTCCTTGGAAATTTAAAAAACTGTTTCTAGTACTTTTTAAACGAAATTAATTATTTGTCTCTTCCATTTTTTTCCAGTTCAATTCGTTCGAACAGCTCATAATAAATTATTGTAACGAAAAACTCCAACAAATTTTAATTGAATTAACACTCAAAGCTGAACAGGAAGAATATATCAAAGAGGTATGTAGTTTCTCAAAGTTAATTATCTATGTTTCATTTAGTTTAAAACGGTGTGTATATTCATTGGATGAAAAATCTTGAAACAATAAAATGATAAGCCACATTCAAGTTGATCTAACGATCTGTTTTGGAGAAAAATCACAATACTTCCCAATCATTTATTTTTATTTTATTTTATAACTGGCGTTGAACAGCCGACCCAATTCTATGTTAACGATATCAATGTTCAACTCCGTATCCTTGTAATTTTGAAACCCAAGCCAGAAGACAAAGAAACTCCTTGTTCAAATATTTTGACAAACTAGCCTCCGTAGAAAACGTTTTGATGGAAACCGGTATTTGCGTTACATGGAGAGGAAAACTACGAAATCCTCCGATGATTAACCCGTATGACACAGTATTTCGTAAGTACAGGTGCCAGTCGGGAGCAGAATTCGTATCAATGAACCACCACTGAGGTTTGAACCTGGGACACCTCACTGGAAGGCAAACGCTCTAAATCAAGCCTGAAAATATTTGTGAGAATTTTGCTTTTATTTTATGAAAGTTGTCAGTATTTGCTGAGTACCTATATAGAAACAATGTGAAAGAACAGCTCAATGAAACTGTAGGAAAAAGTGTGGCTTGTAGCTTTATTCTCCCACACCTTTTAGTTACTATAAACGTAATAAAAACTAAGCTTTAAATGTAATATAAGTTTTATGAAGTTCTTAGTAGTCAATATAAAAGACCTTCTGATGTTTCAATAATTATACTTAATGTTCTTATATGTGACATCTAAAATAGTTATTTTCACTAGTGGGCTCCACCCCCTGTTCGCTAACTCTCTCCAACCCTCAAAAATTGCTATGAAAACTTATGTGGTTTGCTTTGTTAACCACGATAGCTTCACTAACTACTAATTTAAATCCATTTAAAATGTGTTCTAGAGTACTTAGATAACATATGATAATATATCATCAGGTATATAATAATATATTATCAGATAACACGTAATATTATATTTTAATAATATAATACATAATAATATAATGTCAACAATAAGTTACTGAAATAAAATCTTTTTATATTCAAATGTATGACTGAATGAGACCAATAAAACAACATGTATGGCAAAACGTCTCCTACGCATTCTTTCACGTCTAACGTCTCTCATAACTGTCATCAACGCTTTCTTCTGCTTTTCGATCACGCTCTACTTGATTATACTTAGAAAGAATAACAGCTTGACTAATTCTCATTTATCAATGGATAACAATAATAATGAATGCAATTATTATAATTTAACCTGCTTAATTATAATTAAAACATAATATATAACATATTGTTGATATGAATTATTCCCTTTTTACCTTTCAATTCTTCCTAACTTAGAAATCAGTTTATCTCAGCTGTTTGACGTAACAAGGTTTTCGAGATATCGAGAGTATGCTGTGTATATACTATGTTTTTATTATTTTTGTAATATTGTAATATACGATAATATTAATTTCTTTTTCTTAATTTTGAAGGGCATACAATGGGAGCACATTGATTATTTCAATAATGCTGTTATATGTGATCTTATAGAAAAAGTAAGAATTAGTTTTGATCAGAAATATTATGCTATATATACAGTGTAAATCTTTTGTGTTTAATTTTTAAAAAAAAAACTGTTTTGTGCTATTTATTCTTCTGTATACTTAAGTACTTATTTCAGAGATAGATTAAGATTGAAATAATATTTGTATTTACTGTATACATAATTTTCTTGAAAATTGTTTTTTATTATGTGAGAACTTGAGCGATGCAATTTACATTACATTTCATATCATGCTTGCCTAATTTTTACAATTCAGAATTGAATTAAAAAATGCTGTAAACGAATACATGCTGGAAAAATGTATCGAATTTAAAATATTGTTAGTTCTATTTATGAAGATTGAATAATTAAATTTAATACAAAGTATGAAATAATTAATGTAAAATAGATAGTAACATTATTTGTCTGAAAATAGCAAAATGATCTGCAGATTGAAAAAAAAAAACGGATGCTGTAGATCTGCAAATCTGATTATATGATCTGTTCGTGATGCATTAATTGTGTTTCTATGTTGGTTTAAATGACACTTGGACATGCCAAGTTCCCCAGCCATTTGCTTTACGAGTTAAGTCAGAAAGGTGCGCCTTTCGTTTGACAGGAGAGCACCGTAAGAGTGAAAATACGTCTTGGCTTGGAGACCAACGGATCGATGGCAGCACAACTCATTTATGAGGCCACTTCTTTAATTTAGATTGAAAGGAAAGGAAATTTTCTCGTGATCCCTGCACCCTCAGTATTTCTCAATGACTACGGGACTTTCGATTCCACTGAATTTATAAGCAGGTATATCGCATGTAGCGTATACTCCGTGGGTCTCAGCGAGAATCGAACCCAAGCCCCTCGGAATCGGAGTCCAATTCTTGTGCCACTGGGGAACCATGGCCTGAGAAAAATGTTTTTAAACTATTCTTAAAATGTTTTAAAAGTTATGGATTCTTCTTAAACAGCAACTTTCACTTTAAGTATGTTAATTTCTATTTACCTGCAATTATTAAAGCTGTTGTATAGGAAAATTAGCTTTAATTTAAACATAACTTTTATGAGAGTTTGAAAATAAGTGTGGAGAAATGATGTTTGCTTCAAAATTTTGCTCCACTAACAGATTATTGAAATAAACTAATTTTTACCACAAAGTAATATCTTTGTACGCATTATTTTATTTTAGAACAAAAATTATAAAAAAAAATTTCTAATAAAATATTAAAGAAAACTCTTTTACATTCTCTTTTATTGGAGTAATAATGGTATGAAATCAAATCTTGTTTTAAGAAAATTATGATACGTAATCAAAAGTCAATTTTCAAAAAATGCGCGAAAAAATTTTTTAATTATTTTTTTTTAAAAAAAAACCTAAGTGCGATGCCATCTCTAATAGAAATGCTTAAGTTACCACAAATTTAACTAATTTGTTTGGATAAAATATGTTGTCATTGCTTATAACATTGGTTTATTCATCTAAACCAAATTTAAAAGGTCATATTGCATTAACCAGTCACAAGCAGTCTCTCCCTGATTTAACAGTTACCCACACAGCGGCATCAATGATATGAGAGGAAAGCGTGATAACTGACCACTTGCAATGGACAGTTCGACAAATGTTCATTTTGTGACGCAGTTAAAATTGTTAACCGATCATTTAAGCCAAAGCGTAAAGTATCCTCATAAAGTTCTTTTTTTTTTTTTGCTCTAAATCTAATCAAAAACCGGCTCTGAAGCGTGCGACGAGGTTTTCCCTTTTACAAACATACATATATCAGAGCTTGAAACGTAACAGAACTGCTTCGGATATCACCTTACTTATAAGGAAACATAAATATCCAAACACAAACAGTTAGGCTCCGCTTATCGGTTTTCGTTAAGCTGTTTTACCGTTAATTGCTCGACTCCACCCGCATGTCGTCGGGATACCAAAGCGGGGGAGCCATCCCCTCTGCAGAGGATCAAAATTCTGATTGCGATCCAAAAATCCTCAGGGAAGGTCACCAATAGTCCATTGTGACACTCTAGTGCAACGTAAATAAAATACCTACCTACGTTAAAAACCTAAAAAGCTTTACCACGTTTCCGTTGTGTGTTGATATATATCTTCTCAATTCCGAGGAAGGTTAAACTTTTTAAGTGACCAATCCGAAGTCTATAAAGTCGTACAAGCAAATCTGAGACAAGAGCACTGCATTGACATTCTTGGAATCTCTGTGACATTCTTGGAATCTCATTCTTGGAGGAACTGTGGGAATCTTCCAAGCGTTTTTTATATTGACCAAAAGCAGAGAGTGAACCTTCGATGATGTTGAATTATAGAACTGTAGAAAGTTCATTACCCTCCCTAGCAGGCAGATAAATAATTTCGTTTCCATAAACATCCACATGGGATGGAACCCACTACAAGCATATAGTGCTTATCTGGGCCAAGGAAACCAATTTGGAAATGATATCCTTACCCAACTTATCCAAGATGGGTTGTCAATTCTGCAAGTATTGAATTCAGATTTTACTATTAGTCAATGTCTACATACTAAGAACGTTGGAGTCAAAAGAAAAGCTCAAAACTTTTTTTATGGAAAAAATATAAAGCCCTAACTACTTTAAAAATGCTTTAGCTATAACATTTTGTTGTGCAATATCATTACTCAATACCTTTATCATTTTGAGTTCAAACTTTACATTACGAGGAGAAATGGATCGATTTTTTTAAGGGATGTTTTCTCTTATGATAAAAATAAGGAGAATTTTGCTTTTGTATTTTCTGAGAAAGATATGATAAATTTAGTTTTCAATTTTGTACAACATTCCGTCCATAACTGTTTCCAACTAATAGATATTTTGATATGATACGCAATATTTTATTTACCAATAAGCATTATAAAATATGTGTTATTAAAATATATTAATAAAATGCATAAACACATACGTTTATGCATTTTAATATTTTATTTGACAAAACGTTTTGTAGCCATTTTATGTAAATTTTGTTAAAATATGAGTAAATTAAGTAAACAAATCTGCTACCCAAAACTTTTTACAGTGATCTCTCACTTATGCACCACCTCTTTTGTGCACCTTTTTCATTTATACGACGATTTTTATAGGTCCCAGTACATTAGATAGGAAAATAATGATAAACATCCTTCGTTTATGCGTCGCTCTAAAAATAAATTTTTCAATTATGCGCCGAAATTTTAGGCTAGTATTTTAATTTTTTAATCCTTTAAATACTTTTTCTTTAAAAAAAATGTTTTAAATTAAAAATGAAGCAAATGATTAATCCTTGTTACAGTTAAAAAGAAACATATGTTGTTAGATCCTATTGAATTTGCTTCCCCCTGTGACCTTTTCATTTTTGCTGTTTCTGGAAAGGCATTCTTTGTAAAATTTTGAATAGGGTGTCTTATCTGTTACACCAACAACAATGAAAGCTCATTCAACTTTTAGAAAATGACCATTCCTCTTTTCCAGAGGTTAGTTTTACTCCCATGCTGTTTTCGAGAAAAAGAAGACACCTGGAATACGAAAGATGAAAGAGACCGCGATCACTTATTTGCAGTCAGAGGAACATTATGAGTACATAAAAGGAGGTTATCTGTTTAGTGAGGGAAATACTTGAACAACTTATTGTGCAGCATATTATGACGTCAAGTACTTTTCTTAGAAATTTATCATGTGATGTTTCAACCCTCCCATAAAACTTAAATTTTTTGTGAAGAACTGTTCATTTATATCTAATTAAAACTTGTGAATGATGAGAACGTGGTGGATGATACTGACGAGATGATCAAGTTCCTCCAAATCACACAGCAGTATTGAAAGCTTTAGACACTATTCCTGACTATTTACAATTTAATTTTGCTTCTGAAACTCNCAACGGTATCTCACCCATTGTGGTGGTCCTGAAAGAGTGGATACCACCTCTGGAGAACGCACTAGGTCTGCTCATCGGCAAAACCGATTGTGCAGCTCATTAGAAATAAAAAAAAATGTAAATTTTGTTAATTTATGAGCAAGTAAAGTTAACAATCTGCTACCCAAAACTCTTCATATGTACATTTTACTCAACAAAAAATGTTTCAAATTCAAAACTAAAAACACATTCCAAAAAAGGAACTAGTTCGAAAACAGTTGACACAATTATTCCTAATTCCAAATTAATTATTTCTGTTATTGTTCAAGCCACTGTTATTGTTCTGTATTCTGTTATTTTTCAAGCACACCATAAATTATGAAGGGTTTATTCCAATGCTAAAATGTATTTTCCTTGCTTCAGAATAATCATGGCATATTGGCCATGCTGGACGAAGAGTGCCTTCGGCCAGGTCCGGTCAGTGATGAGACCTTTTTATACAAGCTGACGCAGGCCTGCCAGGACAACCCTTACTTTGAGAGCCGAGGATGCAGGAATTTCATAGCAGACAGCACACTCCCTCACCACAGTTTTAGGGTTAGGCATTATGCTGGAGCAGTGAGTACCATCTTTTTTGTTAATTATAGTAATAATATATTGATTGTAGGAATGAAATGTGAACACTCATGATAGCATCAGAAAGACAGTAGCAATAGCATCGTCACAATGCAGGGCTGAGTTTGTATAAAGGCAAGTTGATAACAACACAGACTGCGCATGCTTGATTTACATGATCGTATGAGAGCATTAAAAGTTATTGTAAAGTTTTGCCGAGTGAAAAAAAATACTAAGCTATAGAAAGTATTTTACCTGCAAAGAGAGAGAAAAAACAGAGGTGTTTACTTGCCTTGGTCTGTGGTTCGGCATATCCGAAATCGATGCGTCCTTTTCACGAAAGCTCTCACTACATTTTTGACAATGCTTGCTATACTTTTAGCAAAAAATGTCTGCATTTTGCTCGCTTTATACTACAGAAATAGCGCTATTGGGCGCTGTTTCCTGAACCCATCCATTTTCAACTCGAATTGAATTTACACTCACTTTAAATTTTGTTAGCGAATTTTGTATTCAGTTATATGACATCTTCAATGCACATTTTCTATTTTTGCAACTCTAAATAGCAGCACTGCTGTCACTAGTGTATTTCTGAAACTATGACGTGTGTTCATATATCGCTTGGGCAAACATTATAATTCGCTTTTAATAATCACATAATAAGGAACTCTGGCACGAGGGTCGTAGTATATTAAATGACTTTTTTGCAGGTGACATATTCAGTGACTGGATTCATTGACAAGAACAACGATATTCTACACAGAGACCTCTCCCAAGCCATGTACCGAACAGAACAACCTTTACTCAAAACACTCTTCCCTGAAGGTATTCCACCGTATACACTATCTTATTTCATTTATTGCTTAAACGGTGCTTTATTTCCACTGGCACTTATACGAATCGTCCAATAGTGCATGAAATTGGTTGCAATTTACAACCACAAAATTATAACAATTTAATTAGTGATATTGTTCAGCCTATGACTTGGACAATTCCATGGTGTCCCCATATAATTATGGTCATCATTTACAGGTAATCCTCGAAGGACATCCCTTAAAAGGCCTGCCACAACCGCTACCCAGTTTCGGATCTCAATTGGTGCACTTATGAAAAGTCTTCAAGGAAGGAACGCCCTCTATGTTCGCTGCATAAAGGTATGTTACTATACATTTAATGTATATTAAACTCTTATGTAGACTATACGTAAAATATATGTTAAAAATATTTTTAAAGACGGGCACTTGGGATGTATTGTCCCATTGGTCAGCCAGGAGTGCCAGAACTGCTACTCTCTTCTCGTTACCCAGTGGGCACCTGTGGCGAAGCCACGGCGGTGGAGCAGCGTCGCCCACGTCACACAACCGCAAACCCGTTTATAGGGCGGGTCACATTCACACAATCATAGACACAAAGGATAAAGGACATAGAGCACAGAGAGAGAGAGAGAGAAAGAAACATCCATGTCCAGAGCGGATTCGAAACCGCAACCATCAGCTCCGCTGTCAGGCACGCTAACCACTCGGTCACCTGGTCGGCAATATATATTATGTTAATATATGTTAAAAATTCGATTTAAATAATATTTTGAAAGGTACGATCGTGGATCGTTAAGTGGTGCAAGTATGAAATGAAATTCATACGATTTTGCATCAGCAATATTAAATATTTTTCATTCTGCAGCCATTTAATGCTGAAACAGCGCAATTTTGTAATGCGGGCTACCGGAAGATTACAAGTTTTTCCTTAGGTTCGCTACACGATATCTTGTAATAATAAATGATGCAGCGAGTGAATAAACGAATGAGAGGAACTGAAGGAAATATTAGTTTGTTCGAAACATTGTAATGTTTAAAAATCCATAGACCAGTATAAAAACCAGTTAAAAACTCAAACCAAATTTGAATATAGTAATTGACCAGTACAGATTTTTTGTATATATTTTTTTTCATTCTACCTATTTTTTGCAACTGTTTTTTTTTCGATGTATAAAGCATAATATGCTTAAAATTAAATGCTTTTATTTTTAGTTTGATGCATAACGAAAAATATGCATTATGAATCATTAGCTGTCAATATGGTCAATATAATCGATAAATGTTACAATGCTTTTCTGTGACAGGTAGATCTGATATACAAGTCGAACTCAAGATTGACGCTTGCTAAAAACAATTTTCTCCACAAACGTGAAATTTTATTATCCAATGAAATAAAATTAGTACAGAAAATTATTTTCAATAATACTTTAAATTAAAATCTTAAAATTTTTTTAGCATTACTTGCTATCGTAAGTTAAAATTTATAGGTAAAATAAGAAATGACTTTTGCGATTTTTGTTTTTTCATTCTCAATTAATGATTTTCTGATGTCCCGATCTTCCTCTGAATCTGATGAATTTTTAACTTTCTGTCTGTTCGAGCAATTTAACATAACCGTGTAATAATTTCGTAACTTTTTTCTCAGATTTTTATTTATCTTACAGATTTGTTTTTTTTTTTTATGTTAAGAATTTAATTTTGATTAACTCAGCGACCCAAAATGTCTCAAAAAATTGATTACAATTTAGGTTTTTTAAAAAAAAAAAACAGATTATATGATCTGAAATGATTTCATTACTTACTTACTTATCCTCTACGTGCCTTTGGGCACTTAAGGCCTCTAGCATATCCCTCCAACGCCTCATGTCTCTAGAACTAGATCTTGATTCCTTCCAGTCAGATATTCCACATTCTTTTAATTCGCCCAAAACATGCGCTGGATGGTAAGTCAGGGTCTTCCTCTTGTTCTTTTACCATCAGGGGCCCATGTAAGCGCTACAGATGTAATTTTTTCCTTCGGCATTCTAAGGATATGTCCGAGCCATCTCCATCTTCTTTTTTTAATTTCATCTTCTATTGTTTTTATTTTAGCTTTCTTTAATAGATTTTGATTTGATACTTTGTAAGGCCAGAAAATTTTAAAAATAAATCTTAAACATTTGTTTTGAAAGGTTTCTAATTTTTGTATTTCGATCTTAGTCTGTTTCCAGGTTTCTGCGCCACATAATAGTACTGCTCTAACAATAGCTTTGTAAACAACTATTTTAGTCTTTATTTCAATATTTGACTCTCTCCAAAATCTATGTAATCCCTTAAAACATGTTCTTGCTTTGATTATTCTCTGTCTAATATCTTCACTACTTCCACCTTTTTTATCTACAATAGAACCTAAATAGCTAAATGACTCTATATCATCTATTTCGTGATTTTCGATTTTAATTTTGTCATTTTTCTTTTGATTTATCCTCATTACTTTAGTTTTCTTCTCGTTTATGAATAAACCTACACCATTTGAATATTTGTTGAATTTGTCTGTTTTAAGCTGAAGGTCTGTACAAATGATTTCATTAATATACATACATTTTTAAATTAGGATTTTTTTTTGTTTATGTATTAATTTGTTCATCATATATGTATGTCACTGATGTGAACGTCCGAAGTTGGCGACTTTCATCGCCGAATCCCAACAATCACATAGTAGCTATTGTAAATGTTGTAAATATATGCTGGATCTGCACAGATAAAAAAAACTGGTAAAATTACCTCACTGCATGGTAATGACATTTATTATGAAAAAACATAATTCTGGTTTATAAAACTAAAATATGCGGTATTTAAATATTTCATTCGATATTTTTTCATTTCATATACAGTTTACCGAAAATTTTGGTTTCCAAAATATATTTCTTATTACCTCACATTTTGTAAAAAAATTCCTAAATTAGGAATAAATTTAACAAAAAAAAAAGGTTATTATGACATGATCTAAGATAGTATGATAAAATTACCAAATTTTATCATATTTTTGACGCATTATAAAACGATATTTTGTAGTTAAATTTACCAAACTTCTTACTAAAGTATCATTATACTAAGCCGTAAAAATTGACGAGCTTCTTAATGCTCCCATAAAGGCAAAAATACGGTACATTTTATCATATTCTGGTAATTTTGACCTAACTTTTTTTCTCGGTGTAATTTGATGATAATTTATTCATTAACATTTAAACACTTATTCGATATTTTTTTTTCTATTAGAATAGATTAAGAGTAACATCAGTCGTGGTTACTGACCAGGATAAACTTTACAGTATTCCTATACGTTGATGTTTTTCCTAAACTATCCTGATCAGATATTGAAATAATATAATGCCTTCGGACATTCACCAAAGTGAGTAAGTGATTGTTGACATTCATCGGTGAAAGTCGAGACCCTCCAGATTTCGGTGTTTCACGGAAATATATATAGATAATTTAAATATTTTAGGAATATTTTGTCATTAATTTTCATAAATTTCGTGACATTTAATAAATTTTTCATAAATTTTCAGCCGAACGAGCTCAAACAACCTATGATTTTTGAAATGGCTTTAGTGCAGCATCAAGTAAGATATTTAGGGTAAGTAGCTGTATTCTCGCATAAAGAATTCAGGATCAAATTACGATATAAAGTACCGGTACTTTGGGTGCATCATCGGAAAATACCATTTTTATTACAAAATAATATGCCGTAAGATTTATTTAATTATAGTGATTCAGTGATTTTACTGTAATTATTACTGTAACAATTGCGGTATATCAATTTGTTTGTTCTGAAACATGTTCCAATAAAAATGGATTTTACAACGAAAAGTACCGACACTCTGAGTACCTGCACCTTTTACCATAATTTGATGCGAAGTTTTTAACAGTATAGCGTTATTTTAATAGCACCCATTATTTTACTACAATATTACCAAGTATCAAGGGATAGAGCGTTCGCCTCCCGATAAGGTAGCCCAGGTTTGAATCCCCGAGATAGCTGGTCGATACGAATTCTGACCACAGTGCTCGATCCCCGTGCTGACGTAAAATATCCTCAGTGGAAGACTGATTATGGGTTAGAGTCTCCTTAGAGCCAGGCATACCATGCTAGGTTTTCGTGGTTTTCTTCTCCATGCAAAGCAAATCCGGGTTACTTCCATCAAAAAGTCCACCGCGAAGGGATATTTCTCCCGATACTTGATCTAGAAGACAAGGAGTTGAACATAGGTAGTCGTAAACTCTAAATTGGAACGGTGAAGACAATGTATCAACTTATCATTGAAAGTATATATACGCTGAGATTAGCAACGTTTAATTGAAATTCAGGAGAAGGTTCCAAGAGCTGATTTGCCATAATATCTTAGTTTTTTAATCTCAAATCTACGTTTTCTCCCCTAAATATTTCTGTTTAAACACAGTTTTTTTTTTTTTTAAGTTTTATGTCACATCAGGCATTTAGTTTTAAAATTAGAACCAATTTTCTCTTTTTTTACGAACGAAACGTTTTTACGTGTGAAACGATTAAAGACTTAAGATATCCAATAAATATTTATTAAAAAATAAATTAATAAACCAATATTTTTTAAAGTGTGGTAATATCAATCTTAAATTTAAAACAGCCCTCTTTATTTCTCTATATAACATAAAATCATAATGGTCTAACAACGTTTTCCATTGTTGTCGGCGCATTTTTATTGGCTGGAAAATCACGTGGTAAGATCCAGTTTTCTCTCATTCATTTCTAATTGTTTTGGTTTGCAATATAAATATGGAATAATTGCAATCATAAAGTTAAGTTACATTAATTTGATTACTTTTAAATACTTTCAGCTATTTATGTATATATGACGTATATAACATTTTCAACTAAAAAAATTTAGGGCATGAGTCAATAATGCAAGATAAAATTCATGCTTATTAGAAAATATAATAATACGTTGTTAAATAAATCTGAAATGTAAGTTAACATGATCATTAAATTATATTAGATTACATATAAATATTACGTGCGATAAATTGAAAGAAACATATGAAACTAACTCTACTCNTTTTTTTTTTTTTTTTTTTAAGTTTTATGTCGAAACGAAACGAACAAAACGTTTTTACGTGTGAAACGATTAAAGACTTATATCCAATAAATATTTATTAAAAAATAAATTAATAAACCAATATTTTTTAAAGTGTGATAATATCAATCTTAAATTTAAAACAGCCCTCTATATTTCTCTGTGTAACAAAATCATAATGGTCTGACAACGTTTTCCATTGTTGTCGGCGCATTTTTATTGGCTGGAAAATCACGTGGTAGGATCCAGTTTTCTCTCATTCATTTCTAATTGTTTTGGTTTGCAATATAAATATGGAATAATTGCAATCATAAAGTTAAGTTACATTAATTTGATTACTTTTAAATACTTTCAGCTATTTATGTATATATGACGTATATAACATTTTCAACTAAAAAAATTTAGGGCATGAGTCAATAATGCAAGATAAAATTCATGCTTATTAGAAAATATAATAATACGTTGTTAAATAAATCTGAAATGTAAGTTAACATGATCATTAAATTATATTAGATTACATATAAATATTACGTGCGAAAAATTGAAGGAAACATATGAAACTAACTCTACTCGAATGAAACCTTTGATAACCATGCATATTTAATCTTTCTTAGATTTTTTACCAATGAAAAACAAACTGAAAGTTCCGAAAGTGAATAATATGAGAAGTTGAAAGCACTTATTTTGGAGCCCATCGGGTTGCATCTTAGGTGAAGTAAATGACGATTAACAAACAAATTTATAATCAACATTTTCTCTTTAGACTGTTAATTTTTTTGCCCTATACCACTCACCTGTTAAAAAGTTTAGTTTTTTTTTTAAATAATCGAAATTGAAAATGGAAATTAATATAATAAATTTAATGGTGAAAAGAATTTCAATTCAATTATTTATTTATTTTTCTGTAGCTTACTGGAGACGACGCGCATGCGTAAAGCTGGTTACGCCCACCGCCAAGACTACGAATCGTTTCTGCAGCGGTACAAAATGCTGTCCATCCACACGTGGCCAGTTTGGTCCGGCCTGCCAGTTGAAGGGGTCACCCACCTATTAAGAGACCTTCCCGTCCATACCTCCGAATATTGTTTCGGCAGGACTAAGGTCTTCTTAAAACACAGCAAGACTGTAAGTAGTTCCCTTTCTTTTCTTAATGAACCTTCATTATTGTATACTTATTGAAACATTTGTAAGCATATAATGATTTATAAAACAATACATTTTCAGGACTAAAAGCTTATTAAAACTCAGCAAGACAGTTTATTTATTTATTATTAAATCGTCATTATTATGCTGATTTACATTTTCGTTTAGAGATAACAATGCAGAACTGGACCCTTTGAAATGACAAAAAAAGCAGAAATAACAGCTGAGTACTATTGGTCTATGTTTATTCGATACTGCTGTTTATTTCTCATTGTTGATCATTCATATTGATCAACACTACTTCTAGTTTGGCACTTATGGAAGACGCTGAATTTGGCGAGAACTCATCTTTACTTGCTCACGCTGTGTAATGATTACTGTATTTTTGAACAGAAATAATTTGTTAGCTGTGTAAAGTTCTACTCATTTCTTACAGAAAGTATAGACAGCAAAGTTTTCATATTCTTTAGTTGTGAGCTTTGAGATGTGTGTGCGGCTTGACGTCATGAGGTGGGGAATCGTAGCTTCAGATTTGAGTAGGGAATGAACAAAGCCTTTCTCCATCTTCTCTTTAGCCCTGGTATAAAGGTCTGATAGGAGTATCATGATCTGAGACATGCTCTACTGGCATGAAAGTGGTACCCTGGTTTATCTTGAGGGTAAACAAAAAGCCATACAACACCAGTTCATATTGTCAGATCAAGCGCAGTTTGCAATGTTTCATTTTTACTTCGAAGGTAACGGTAATGTAACATTGTATTTTGCCAGAAACGTTATTGATCATCAACCTGACTTTCGGCAAATTTCCCATCGACGGTAACGAGCTGAATGTTTTTTTTTCTCCAAGGTTTCGTCTTCATATGAAATTTTTTTGCGAATAATATGCTATTTTCATAACTTCTCTGAGTTTGCAAGAGTTACTCAGGACTGTAAGGACAAGTTTAGTCAATCTAAATTCAGCGCTGTCTATGCTTATTCTGAAAATGGCGCAAAATGTCAATATGGAGAAAAGCCACAGCTTTGTAGAAATGAGAAACGTTTGTGTTCTAATTTTTTAATGCTACATTTTCTGGGCTCATGAAAATTTGCAAAAACTACTGGCTTTGATATTTTTTATCTAGGTGGAAAAATATCGCCAAATTGGCAATTTTTTAAAAAAAAGTTATTTGTCTATTCGAAAGCCTAAAATATTTTCCACTGCAAGATTATATTATTATGGATGTAATTTTCGACTATTTCAACCTTCATGTACCAAAATGTTTATCTAAATGGTGTTAACATGTTTTATATACTAACGAATTAGTATTTAATATTTTCAGTGGTAGTTAAACCACAATATACTTAGTTTAAAAGCATAGTTTTACTTCAAATGTACGGCACAACTTTGTTTTTTTTCCTTGGCGACAGAGCTTCGAAAAATCAAGTTAACTAGACGGAAAATGTTTGATGAATGTTGAAAAGTTTCATCCAACAGCAATCTCCTATTTCATTTAATCTACCGGATCTTCATGATCAATGCATGGTTTCGCCGAACTTAAAATTACTCTAGAAGCTTGTCGAAACGATACCATCCCGAATACAGGATGTAATAAGTGCAAAGTAAAGTCCAATAAAGTATTAATCCAAAGCTTTTATTAGCCTGTGTGAGTAGTTGGCACATTTACCACATACCTGGTCAATGCAAATTTAGCTACATTGGGCAAATCTGTCATGTTATTTAGTTTGGAATTAGAAAGGTACATCTTTCGTCAATAATTCGATAAAGCATCTAACGTCGCATATCGTAAAAAACATAGGCATAAAGTTAAATCCAATCATAGGCAAAATTTTTCGCCTCCTCTGTCACATCAGCTCATTTTATTCTTCTGATCTCTTATATGATTTATATCAGTGCCTGTAATTTTGTTAATGACATAATTTCTTCAAACCCTTGCTCGGCCTGGAAATGGATGATCTTGTCTTGATTAACTTTCCAAAGCCGCCATCGTTCACTTCGGATTCCACGTTTTTTTTTCACCATTTTAATTCCCTTATCATTTTTTTAAAAATCTATTTCATTTTCACCATTTTCGTGTTGAGGGTCTTAATAATTAAGAGTGCTTGTGACTATATCCATAATGGTTTTTTAAACAACTGAAGTTTCGTTCAATTTGAGTTGACATGAATGAACATGTTTCAGCTGTATGAACTTGAGCAGTTCAGGCAAGAGAGCCTTCACGAGCTGGCCACACTTATTCAGAAGTTGTTCCGCGGATGGGTACACAGGCGACTCTTTCTTCAAATGAGAAGAAGCCAAATCATGTTAGCAACAAATTATCAAGCTTGGAAGGTAAGTTATTATCGAATTCGTTTCGAAACAAATGTTAGCAAACATAAAAAATAATAATTCGACATATTTTTCAAATATCAATAGTTAAAAATTAATTAACTTTTCGATGGAAAAAATATTTAAATTGAACTAATTAAGGAGTTTTTTAATTGAATATTCTTAAATAATCCACAATTACTAATTTTTTTAATTAAAAAGTGAACATTTTCATCAAGAAATATATGATAGTAGTACAAAATTATTGTGACGATGTAAATAAACATAAACGTTGACGAGCAAATAAAATGACTTTGTATTGAACATATCGGGATTATTTACACATAATTGAATAGCGCAAAAGTTAATTGTAGTTATGCTGTGTCAAATGAAAGCTTAACGAATTGCAATTATGCGAATTCGAAGTAATGGAATAAGCGATGCTATAAACTATTTCTGACCCAAAAACATTATCATAATCATAAAAATTACAATCGTTCAAAAAGAGCACTTAAAATAGATGTTAGCATGATACATAATATTTAATAATAGTTTTCAAATTATTAATTATTAAAAATTAATGAACTTAACACTGTTAAGAATATTTAAATAAAACTAATTTATATTTTTTTAATGTAAAATTCTTAAATAAGCTACTATGAATCGTTGAATGAAAAATCAAATGATAATATTTTAATTAAAAAAAGGCTTGATAACGAAATATAAAACATAATGATGTACATAATGATACAGTAGTATATAATGAATAAATAAAAAATCATAAACGTTCACGAGTAACTAAAATGTGTTTGTATTGGACATATCGGGATTATTTACTTATAATTGAATAGCGCAAAAGCCAGTTGTAGCTTTGCTATGTCAAATTAAAGTATAACAAATTGCAATTATGTGAACTCGAAGCAATGATAAAAAGGATGCTAGAAACTATCTATGACTCAAAAAAGGGAAAATGATTAAGTATTAAGAGGAATGTTAGTATAGCGTATCATGATCATGAAATCCGTATTTATTCAATTGAGATAAACTCGTAGTAAGATTCAAAGGTTGGACAAGGATGTAAAATGAATATTTATATCCGAAAATCCATTTTATTAAATAATAAAATAAATTCCTTAGTTTTCTCTACTGACTTGTTATTAGAAAGAAATAATATATTTATTTAAATGTAATGTGAAACACATATTTATTAAAAATTGTCAATATTTAAAAATAACTAAAATATTTTTATTTTGTTTAATTTGTAGTTTAATACTTAAATATACTTTCATTTAAATTTTTGGAAGCTTCATCATTGTCTGATATTTTCATACATATTAGAAATACTAGGACATAATAATTCAACAAAATTTGTTTTTACTGTATGCAAACAGAGATATTAATCAACAAATTAAAATAAACAGTGTTTAAAATTGTAATTAGAAATTAATTTTTGCCTTAACACCTCTTCCACACATAATACATAATCGTTTCCAGATTATTTCTACTAAAAATACAAAGAATTTCTTTCTTATTTAAAGATAAAATCTAATAGTATAAAAGTTTAGTAAAAAATTTTAAAAATAAACCATTTTTCTCTACTTACATTGTTTCATAGGAAAAAAAAGTGATGTTTATTGCTGATTGAAGCAATTATATATTATTTCTATTGATTACTATCTTATCTGTGTATTGATTATGCCATGTGTAGTTGCATGCTAATTAGTTATTAGTTTCCCATTCGATTTATTCTATGTGTTAGTTGCTGTAGTGCATGGTTATGAATGAAGTGAACAAATGAACAAAATGGGTAACCACTCGCTCTTTCTTTTTAATTTTTTTTCATCTTAAATCCTTAAATTCATTTTTTTAGTTAACCCTTTACAAGGCTTAGGGAAATATTAACCCCACGAACTTCCAATACATGCTATTTTAACTTCTCAACTATATGTATATATAAATTGTTTTCCTAACTGTGATTTATGCTGCCATCTACAGATTACTTTAGAAAATACAAAAATACATATGAAGAGCTTTGTTTACATAAATGTGGGTAACAGTAAAGGTTGTTGTGGGGTCAAGAAGAGTGGCCAACTCTGGAAAGCATTTTTTATGCATTATATTTTCCTTTATTTGAGCAACTCTCATTGAGTTTATTTGTAGTTTTAATCATGGAATTTATATATTTGGTCATTCATGAGAACAGAAAGACACTTTTATGGAAAATGTCATCAAACTTCCCAGGAGAAAAAAAAATGGTCATCAAATTCATTTTAGGTAATATGCTAAATAAATTTCTTGTTATAAATCAATCTAATTTCTAATTTTTTTTAATTTTCTAGTCCTATAATTTATAATTTTCCTTTCTAATTTTTTTATGAAGACATCCTTTTTATCTTCTCAGAAACAGATGTAAACATTTCTATTTTTTTAATGAAAAAAATTTTATTTCGCTAAAAGACACAAAACAAACTTTTTTATTGCTTTTCAAATAATTCATTAACTCGGGGTACAGTTGTTAAACAGGGACTTTGCTTCAAAAAATATCTCCAAGCCACAAAACTTAGCAAGTAGAAGCGTTGAACAACCGGTTTATTTTTTTAACTAACCACTATTAATGTTCCTCTCCGAAGCCATTCAATTTTGAACCCAAATCAGAAGACAATGGAACTCTTGAATCAAGTATTAAGACAAACTAACCTTCGTAGAGGTCTTCCTGAAGGAATCAACCCACATTTGCGTTGTATAAGAAGGAAAAACACGAAAATTTTCTAAGTTTATCCAGATGCCAAGACGATCTAACCCTTAATTCGTCTATCACAGATGATATCTTTAGTCAGACCTGCGGTCGACCGTACCGGGAGGGAATTAGCAAATCCAGCTGTATTTAACGACTCACTTTCCTATTTGGAATTTTCTTAAATAAATCAAAGCTTGATTCTTGACTTTTTTTAAGTTCAGGTAGTAATTTTTTTTAAAGAAATAAAAGCTTGAATTATAATTGTGACCAACTACTACCAAGGGAAAATCTACAAAAAGGAGAACGAGTCGTTAAGGAACACTGGATTGTAAATTAGCAACTAGCAAATTCCCATCGATCAGCCACGCTGGATTTCGAATCTGGGCCAGCTGGATTGGAAAGGGAGTACTTTATCCCCTGAACCGGTTAACTACAATCAAGGGACAAATCTACAAAGCCGGCCAGGTGGCCGAGTAGTTAGCATGCCTGACTGCAAAGCCAATGGCTGCAGGTTCGAATCTCACTTTGGGCATGGATGTTTCTCTCAGTGTGTTGTTCTCTATTGTGAGATGTGTGAATGTGGCCCACCCTATAAGACTGTTATCTGTGGCAGTAGTGTACGTGGGTAATGTTGCTCGCCTCCGTGTCTTAGGTTCACAGGTGCCCACAGGATAACGTTAAATAAGTAATAATTCCGGCAACTTCCTAGGTCAGGAACAAAAAGTTCAGTGCCTGTCGTTAAAAAAGTTAAATCTACAAAAGTTAAATCTACGAGCCGTTAAATCTACAAAAGAGAGAACGAGTCAGTAAAGAACGCTAGATTGTAAACTAGCAACCGGAAGCAAATTCTCATCGATCAGCCGTCTCAGGGATTCAAAACCTGACCATCTGGTTGGTAGGGGAGTGTTTTATTCCCTGAGCCACCGTGGCTTAGATTATAAATCGGGGTTAAATTGTATTATTGTTTTCTGTAATTGAATTTTTTAAAAAGAGGTAAATCACGTGTTTGTGAGTGTTTGCCCATTACAAAATGTGCAAATGGAATGTGTGGAAAATGTGTGTCAGTTAACTGGCTTCAAAGTGCAATGTGGTGTTGTTTTTACTGTCTTGACAAAAGTTTTCCGTGGAACTTGAAGAGAGCGGAAGTTCTTCCTTGGATCGAAGTGGACCAACCACACTTTGGGCCTTCTACGTCGTCTGGGGCGCCTACCTAGGCTGGAAGGTGAGAACATCCAAACCCCGTTACACACCTTTTTTTATTTCACTATCCCTACCCACCAGAATTCTAATTTGATTTCATTTTAATATAATATTCTGGATTCATTTTTATTTCCACACACTTCGGAGAGCTGGCAAAATTAATTCCTCAACACGAAACATTGCATCTGCAATTGTACCGGAAGTAAAATCTTGTAATTGCTTCTGAAATAAAATATTAAAATAAACTAAATAACATAATCTAAACATAACCTGAAAATTTAACTTGATTGTTAAATCAAGACTTATATCTAAAAATTTAACTTGATTGTCAAATCAAGACTTATGTCTAAAAATTTAACTTGATTGTTAAATCAAGACTTGTATCTAAAAATTTAACTTGATTGTTAAATCGAGACTTATATCTAAAAATTTAACTTGATTGTTAAATCGAGACTTACATCAAAAAATTTAACTTGATTGTCAAATCAAGACTTATATCTAAAAATTTAACTTCATTGTTAAATCAAGACTTATATCTAAAAATTTAACTTGATTTAACTAGACTTAAATCTAAAAATTTAGCTTGAAGTAAAATATTTTATTCTCTTCAAGATCATAGCCTTATTAAGAAGTCTAATTGAAGGTACGATCTTTCAAAACTACATTTTACGAATTTTTATTTGCATGAGTTTGGACGTAGCACTCCATCATGCGGCCCACAGAACATGCTTAGGTTTGGTTAATTAAAAATTCCAGATATATCGGGTATTCCTTAAAATTATCAACAATTTTAAGAATTAATTTTGAAAAAAAGCGGAAAGCTATAAAAATGTACAATTTGTTGCCTTCTATTTAGGAAACTAGAAAGTTTATATTTACCAAGTTTAAAAATTAGTTACGAAGTTCATCATTGGATAATATCGATAACTGAGAAAACTAAAAATTATAAAACAACGTTTTCTCTTGCTTATCAGACTGTTCTAACTGAAATACCTGTACGTGTATATCTTAACTTTGATCTTGATTGTACCATATTTTTGCTGCATATTTTGATTCTTGAAGAGTTTTTCTCACTGAGCAGTGACATCTGCCGATTAAATTTGTAAATAATTCTTAACTTGTCGAGTTGAAAACTTAGTTTCCCAGGCAAGAAACTGCAAGCTGTGCATTTCTATATCCTTAATTATTATCATTATTTGACTTTTTGAATTTTAGACATCGGTTTTTCATAGAGTAATGTATATTCATACAAAAACTTTATTTGGCTCACTAATTCTTGTAATCATAAAAAATTGTGATACAAAATTGTGTTGGACTCATAGCAATTGTCCACCATGTACGTAAATAAGTAACACAAAATACTTCAAATCATCAAGAAATAATAGCAAAATAAACAAAAAAAAACAGGCACATTGACATTCATTTTGTCAAGAAAGCATTGTAAGAATTTAATTGTAATCGTATGACTGATAGTAAAAATATGACATTAAAGAATGTGCCCAGTAAACAAATCAAAATTACTTTTAATTGCAAAACAAAAGTTTGTTTTAAAGCTTCTTTCAATCGTTGATAAAACCATTTGCTTTGCATTAATTTAAAATTGTCAGTCAATTTCTTTAAAAATGACCTTATTTTTTTTTCAATTGTACATTTCTTTTTCCAAAACATTGTTTAAGATAACAGAATTCCTCTCTAGCAGTAAGATTTTATACGCTTGTTATATTTTTCAGTTTTAAATTAAAAGCATATTAGCAATTACTATAATCAAATACCAGCTCAATATAATATAACTTTACAGACTGTTTTTTTATACCTAAACATTTTTTGTTCTAAAATAACTGTTAATTACTTATTATTAAATAATTATTTTCTTTCATAATTTTAACAATTGATTTATTACTATTCTTTATAATTTTCAAATGAAATTCTAACCACATTCCAGCCTACGTAGTGCATTGATTAACATTTGCATGCTACTTTGTACTGTAGTTCCATACTTTACATTGCTCCTTCGTTTGTAGTAGTAGGCAAATGTAATACTGTTATTTTTATATATTTAAAATAATTTAGAAGTAAGTTTTTTTATTGATTTTCTATTGTATTTTTCATTAAAATTATAACATATATGTTTGCATACGTTTGCATGTCCTAAGTAGCAAAAAATATCATTATCATATTAAATCTTGAAAGAAATCAGTCCTAGTTTAAAGAGAATTCATACCAGTATTCTATGAAGTATAATACCACATATTTATAAAGAATAACATATAATTTAACTTACCAATAAAGATTAATAGAGGAAAAATATATTAAAATATAATGAAATGAATTTAATAGAAATAGTATCGAAATTCCGGAAATGAAATAATACCACATATTTCTGTAAAAAATAATATATAATTTAACTTAGCAATAAAGATTAATTGGTAAAAAATAAATTAAAATAAAATGAAATAAATTTAACAGAACTAGTATCAAAATTCCAGAAATGAAAAGCACAAATCTAAATTGGATACCATCATAAATCTCGAAATATGATGTTAATATGCTTAGTTTATTATTATAAGAAAATGTATATCTCAAATATGCTAAATGAGAGATAAGGTGCACGTCATAACTACATCTCTAAACGCAACGCTAAATTTATATTACGTTTACATTATATATCTAAAGTGATATCATGTTAGCATATCCTAAGCATCGCAAATTCTGAAATAAAGTATAACAAGTATAGAAAGTATAATACAGCAAATTTTTAAAAAAAGTATTATAACAAACTAAGGAAGAATAAAATCACACTTCTTGAATTAAAATATAAAAAAACACATAAAGAATTATATCAATTTCGATAGAATAATATCCCAAAACGCAAATATTATGTAAAGAAAAGGAAGAACAATATAACAAATTCAAATATTGAATTGGTACTAACTTAGGAAAAATTTGTAAAACAATTAGATTTTGAAACATGTGAATATTAGTCAATATCAAGTTAAAGATGCTATGTTATCCATATTATATTCAGAGGATACTCACTTATGTAAGTTTTTTTTCTTTACCTTTTACAATGAAACACAAATCTACTATCCGTTAAATTTGTCTCCGTTCGGCGAAAAAAAGAATCATTTTCATAGTTTTATCATAAAAAACTTTCATAATTTTAAAATGAATGCTATTCGAAGTTCATCTAGAATGTTAAGTGATGTAAAGTTTCTTATAATGTGTGTCTAATAATTTTTAAGATAGTTACTTTTTGTTTCATTTATTCGAATTCTTAGAGTAAATAAACTTATGCTTATTAGTTAATAACTGTGACCAAATGACTTTATATGCATGACTAATATGTCCTAAATGTGACGACATCTTTGACATTTAAAGCATAATTCTAAATTGAGTACAACTCCAGTATATATATATGTATACTCAAATATATATGTATAAGTTATCCACATCTTGGATAACTTATACATATATTTCAGAATAGCTCATTCACCATGTCATTTTAACTAAGACAATAAGAATTAATTTTATAAAAATTACATTCTATGTAACAAATTTCGAAACGATAAGTTCTGTGTCGTAATGACTGCTAAAATTTTCTAAAACATATATCCAAAGAAGTGTTAACTAACAGATATAGTATCACATCGTAATTATAATGCACAGTAATACAATTAAGGTACAATAAGCATAATTGCAGCGTTTATGAATACATTCAAAATTACATTTATTAAACAACCATCAAGCATATCTCAGAAACCATATAACTTGTGATATAATGACAATAGCACAATCTATGAAAACATTCAAAATTACAATAAATATTAATCAATCATAAAACATAATTGTCATATAATAACTTTGGCACTATCTAAGGACACATTTAAAATTACAATAAGTACAAAACAACCTTAAACCATATCTCGAAACCATATAAATTATGATATAATAACGGTTGCACCATCTATGAATTCATTCAAAATTGCAATAAGTATTAAACAACCATAAAACATAATTGTGATACAATAACAATGGCACCATCTATGAATACATTCAAAGTTACAATAAGTATTAAACAACCTTAAACCATATCTCGAAACCATATAAATTGTGATATAATAACGATTGCACCATCTATGAGTTCATTCAAAATTGCAATAAGTATTAAACAACCATAAAACATAATTGTGATACAATAACAATGGCACCATCTATGGATACATTCAAAGTTACAATAAGTATTAAATAACCATAAAGCATGTTCAAAAACCATGTATATTGTGATATAATAACAATATCGTAAGACATCCATAAAGATATAAAATGACTGGTTTCGTGCCATATCGTAATTATAGTGCTACAAGGACATGATGTATGCATGTGTACAATGTATTACTCTTTATTTTGTGTGTTAATTTTTGTACAGAGACGACGATACCTGCTGTGGCTAGCTAGGCACCTGCCTTCAGAATCACCTTTGTGCCGAGAATGGCCACCTTCTCCCCGCTGTTTGCAGGAAACAAGTTACTATCTCAGAAAATTGTACCACAAGTGGAGAGTATGTGTTCTCAGTATTTTATTTTCTCATTTCTGTAGTAAGAAAATACATTGTAAGAGTTGCTCAAATGAGAAATGGACACGCAATATAGTGCAGAATAGAATAACGATATTTGTGCCACTCTTTAAAATTATAAATCAAGGTAAGAGTAATAACAATACACAGTAGTACGCAGTAGATTGCGCGTAGCTTATTAATTAGTAAGCATGAGAGCATTTAAATTGAATGTAAAGTCTTTTTGAAGTGGAGGACATTGCGCAGTACGGTTTTTTCTTTCTTTTTTTGTGGCAGTGAGTAAACATGGAAATACTTCGCCAATAGTTTAAGGTGAACATAGACTAGGGACAAAGGTTGTAAGAGATTAAGAACAAATGAAGTAAAAATTATTATTGTGAAGTTTGTACAATGCGCAAAAAGGTAAAGAATCTGAATAACTTTTGATCTAAGAATCGAGTTTTCATAGACTGATATTAAATATTAATGGCCGGAAGCCCTAACCATAAATAGCAGGGCTCAAAAAACCACCCGTCCACACGTCCTCGGCGGTCGAAAATTCCCCGCGGACAACGAAATTCCTCGCGGACGGGCCATTTTCCCTTTCATGTTCGTGATACATTTTCAATTTTTGTTTTCTTACAAGAGTCTAGCGCCTCACTTTTAAATTGACCCTTCTATCTAGAAATCCCGTTAATTACTTCGTCAGACCATATGCGCATGCTCACGTAATCGATAAACAAAAGAAAAGTTGCGTTAAACGCAATTATGAACATCTACCTAAATGGAAAACCCCTTTCTGGTTTTTGTGCAGAAACCTCTGTAAATCATTGGCTTGATTGGGGAATTGGCAAACGTCATATTTGATTCATTTAAAAAACGCAGTACCCTCTGATAAATTGACCCTTGTTATTTAAATTAATTCATAAAAGAAATAAATTATTTCATAAAGGAAATACTAGGCTACTATTAGTAACCTAGTATTTTATTTATTACTGTATAATGTAATCCTCGTATTTGTAATTCTAGTTACTACTAATTCATTGTGCAATTTATATAAATGTTTGTAATAATTAAGAGAAAATTATATTTTTATTTATGTAGAAGCTACGGGTTAGTTTCAAAGGAAGACGGGTACATTGCTGGACAAGCCGTCCTCGGGGACGGGTAAAATTTCTGAGTTTTTTATCCCTTAAAATTTGGGGATAGATGCAATCTTAAAAATATAATTAAAATAGTTGCTGGAGAGCGGTCTGAAATTCCAGCTCTTAAAGTTAATTTCACTTTTTGAGTATTTTACAATATCCTATTAACTTTTCGAGTGATTCTAGACGTTTAAACACACAATTATAAAATTTGTTTATCCGAAGACAATTCCACAATAAATAATTATTCCCTTTTATAATTATTTGCTATATTTTATTACTTTATTAAATTATGATCGAAATTTTTTTTTAATTATATGGTATACAAACTTCTATAAAATTTCAAAGTATGTATAATTTTAAAAGATAAAATTCAACATTTGAATGAAATTGGTCGTACAGTCCTCAAGAAATCAAATTATAAATATATGGTTCATTCTTTTCCAGATTGCCAACACCCTTTATATCTTGAGAGTAAAGTATTTAAGACCCTTGAAAAAAAGTATGCTGATTCAGAGAAAATACATTTCTGTCTCTGATTTCGTAACTTAAAATTATCCCTAAATCTATTGAAATCGAATCTTGAAGAGTAAAAATATATCATTAGATCAAATGTTATTCAAGAGATTCAATTTTTTTTTCTTTATTCACATTACATCAATATCGGATGGGCCAAGACTCATAGCAAACCCCGTAATCCCAATAAATGTAGTATTATCGTTGCCGATCAATTGCTGTTGATGAATGTATTGCTGCTGTCGGTCTATTGCTATTGCTGTAGATGGACCTATTACTTCTATAGGTAATCAAGAATGTACGACACTCTGTCTGACATAAGTAAAATAATGGTACGACTGTTCACGGCCACAAAAAATTCTAAATACTTTGACTGGTTTTGTCCTGGACGCATCCTTCTTAGTTCAACTTTATATTCACTTCAAATGTTCCCATGTGAACTAGTCAATCTGTGAAACGCAGTTAACGAAGCTCTCTCCTAACCTTCCTTTATAAATCTGTATGGCGATATAATTCTGACTCAGTCCAACGTGTCCAATATTCATTTGTATTAACCTTAAATTACTTTTCTTTACTTATTTGTTTATTTTGGCAGTGTAACAAGTATCGATTACGTTTTGATCAAACAGCCAGGAATAGAATGCGTGAAAAAGTGACTGCCAGTTTAATCTTCAAAGACAGAAAAACTTCCTATCCCAAAAGGTAAAACTTATTCAAATGTATATCCGTGATTAAACGTATATCCGCTATTAATTGTATTTCCATGATTAAATGTGTTTTCATGCATTTATACAACTCAATTAGTTTGGTTAAAAAAAGGATATCGTTAGTATTCATCTCTTTATAGACTCATAAAAGCCATAATTTATAAACTCTAGTACTTATTTTCAAGAACTAAATACTGTTCATACCAATCAATTAATGAAATAATCTGTCTTATTTTATCAGAGCATCCCCGAATTCAACTATATTCTACGATATGACTTTAAAAGAAGACATGAAACTTATTGTTTTTATTTTAGTCTTAAATAGTTTCATGAAAGTAAAAAAATTTCACGGGGGAATAAATTTTTATTGCATTCATACAAATAATTATCATTAACACCTATTTCTTCGTACACTAATTATAGTTAAAAATTTTTAAGCTCGGCTTCTTATTTTCAAGAAATGATGCGAACTATCATTTTGAAAACCAGAATTTCCTGTAAACTATTACCATTTGAACGCTAAAATTACCAAATTAATAGTTTAAATACCATATATTTTTGTTTTTATTACCAGAAATATACCAGTACTGTAGTACTCCCACTTCTTGTTACAATTTTTAGATTTTTGTGTGTAAAAAGATGTTTCTTTGTAATTTCCAAACAAGAATTTGACCACACTACGGTAATTTCCCAAAGATTTTTTTCTCTGTGTAGACCTTCAATTTTCTGTCAAAATACATTTCTACCAAAGAGTACTGTAGTACTATTTTATAGGAATGTATAACGGATTACCTGTGTAGTTTTAATTTTCATATTCTGTGTTTAAAAAAGATATTATTCTGTATTTCTGATTTCAGTGTCTCCCATCCATTTCGAGGTGATTATGTCCGGTTACGTCATAATGTGAAATGGAAGAAGATAGCCCAAGAAACAGGTGACCAGTACGTGGTTTTCGCGGACATCATCAACAAAATCGCTCGCGCGAGCGGAAAGGTAAAAAAATCATTTCATTTAAAGCGTACTTAAACAATTTAATTCGTTTGACAATAGTTCGTCATCAAATCTCAATATTTTTTTCATTAATAATTAGAATTATTGCATTTCATGATGTGCAGCGCCCAAATAAAAACCGAATAACTTTTGATCTAATGATCGGATCTTTACGTTCTAGAACCTAATCTTAATGTTTTGAGTGGGTGACCTCAAATATGTTAATTAATTAGTGCATTTGATATTATAAATTACGAAACCAGACATAAAACCTTACCTTCTCTGAATAAACATGCATCTTTTTCGACAGAACTGGTTTTTCGACCCCCAAAATTTGGAAATTAGCCCGATATCTGGGAAATATGGTTAGAATTGTTTGGTCAGGATGTCGGTCCCAAGTTAAAACAATTTAATAATAATTTTATTTTTTGCGTTTTCTGCCATATATCGACAACTTTGTCAGCGAATGGAAAACGTTTTGCTTACAATGATTAAATTAGCTTATCCAAAGATTAGTCGAAAAAATTTATAATAGTCGAAATAGATGATAATAAATATAATCGATAATAATGGTTTAAAAAAATATTGTAAGGTAATTTTTATTTAGTTTTAAAGAAATGTAATTTTAGATATCAAGATACTAAATTTGAAGCTGCATTTTAGGAATACGACTTTTCTTACGCAGTGTGCACTGGATAAATTGCTAAAAAGGGGAAAAAACAACTAGTAAAAAGTTTTAAACCGAAATAAGTAAATTTTATCTTAAAAGCAGGCTACACCCGATAAAAAACTTTTTATGGCAAAATCTTCTTTACCTCCATCTTTACCTTCCATAATTTGTTTTCAAACAAATTATGGAAGGATTACTTCCCTACAACGCAATCCTAAGTAATCCTACCATAATTTGTTAGAATTTTGATATTTTGATGAAAAAATCAGCATTTGAAACAATCTGGTTTACTTTAGGTTTACCGGAACTCACTTTTTCTATAATTTAAATTTTGAATTATTACTATTGTAGAGTGAAGAAAATTGACAGAAAGAATTTCTCCTGAAGTGTAGTGTCCGCTTAAGACTTTGACGCAGGTGGGACGGATATATACGTATATATAAGTTCAAAATGTAGAGAAAGCATGGAAAAATTAAAGAACAATGAAAAAAGGGAAAAGAAAAGTAATAATAAAAATAACAAAAATCCAGAAAAGAAATTTCGGAAAAAGGAAAACAAAATTAATAAAAATCCAAAAAATAAAAGTTTTTTTTATGAGTTCTATTTACTTGCAGCTTATGCGCAGTTTACAAAACTTATTGCTTTTCTTAATTTTCTTCGTTTTTTTCTTCTTTTTGCCCTTTTTGTATNTTTCCATGATTAATTATTCTCCATGATAAAACGTATTTCCTTGCATTTATAAAATTTGAATAGTTTGAAGTAAGGCTAAAAAAAGGATATCGTTAGTATTTATCTCTTTGTTCACTAATAATAGCTATAATTTATAAACTCGATTACTTATTTTCAAGAATTAAATACTGTTAATACCAATAAATTAATGAAATAATGGGCCTTATTTTATCAGAGCACCCCCGAGTTCAACTATAGTCAATGATATGACGCTGACAAGTATACATGCAATTTAATGAGTAAATTTTTTGTTGAATTCATAAAAATACTTATAATCTGTACCTATCTCTTTGTACACTAAGAATAGCTATAATTTTTAAACTCTAGCTCTTATTTTCAAGAAATAATAAGAAAGTCAGAATTTCAGGTAAACTCTTAACATCTTAAAGGCAAAATTAACAAATTAGTGGTTTAAATACCGTATATTTTTGTTCTTATTACCAGAATTATTGCTTTTTTTACCAGAAATTTACCAGTACTGTAGTATCCCAACTTTTTAATTTTCTGATTTTTCTGGTTAAAAAGATGTTCTATTGTAATTTTCAAACAAGAATATTACCATACATTACTGTAATTTTTCCAACGATTTGTTTCCTTGCGTAGACCTTGAAATTTCTGTCAAAATGCATTTCTATAGAAGAGTACTGTTGTACTCTTTTATAGGAATGCATAATGGAGTACCTGTAGTTTTAATTTTTAGGTTTTTGTGTTTAAAAAAGATGTTACTTTGTAATTTCAGTGTCTCCCATCCATTTCGTGGCGATTATGTCCGGTTACGTCATAATGTGAAATGGAAGAAGATAGCCCAAGAAACAGGTGACCAGTACGTAGTTTTCGCGGACATCATCAACAAAATCGCTCGCGCGAGCGGAAAGGTAAAAAAATCTATTTTATTGAAACCGTACTTAAATAATTTAATGCGTTTAAAAATAATTTGATCCATAATTCTTCGTTTGACAATAATTCGTTATCAAATGACATTATTTTTTTATTAATAATTAGCATTTCTTAATGTAGAGTGCGCAAATAAAAAAGGACCACATTGAATTACTTGTTATCTAATATGCGGATTTTTACTTTCTAGGTCCCAATCTTAATGGTTCGTGGGGATGACCTCAAATATTCTAATTAGTTAGTACAGTTGGTATTTTAAATTACGAAAGCAGACACAAAAACTTACCTTCTATGAATAAACATGCCTCTTTTCGACGGAATCGGATTTTAAGCCCCCAGAATTTAGAGGGTAGCCGCTATATGGGAAATAAGGTCAGGATAGCGGTCCTAAGTTAAGACCCCTTAATATTAATTTTATTTTTTGAGTTTTCTGCCATAACTAGAGAGCTTTGTAAGCGAATGAAAACATTTTTGCTCACAATTATAAAATTTGCTTATACAAAGATAGTAATAGTCGAAAAATTATAATAGTCAAAATAGAGGATAATGCTTGTAGATAATAGCAGTAAAAAAATTCTGAATTGTAAGGTATTTTTTACATCATTTAAAAAAATATAATTTCAAATATCCAGATACAAAACTTGAAGTCGCCTTTTAAAAATACGACTTTTTTGCGCACTGTACTCTGGGCAAATTGTAAAAAAGAAAGAAAAACAGCTTGTAAAAAAAGTTTTAAGCCGAAAGAAAGAAAATTTGCCTCAGAAGGAGACTACCCCCGAAAAGAAACTTTTTATGTTAAAGTCTATTTTTACTCCTTTGGTATTTTAAAATTTTTAAACAAATTATGGCAGTATTGCTTCCCTACAGTGCAATCTTGAGTAATCCTGCCACAGTTTGTTGGAATTTTTATATTTTGAAAAAAATCAGCATTTGAAACTTCCTGGTTTACTTTAGGTATACATAAACTGACTTTTTCTATAGTTTAAATTTTGAATTATTACTATTGTTGATTGAAGAAAATTGCCGTAAAAAATTTCTCCCAAAGTGTAGTGTCCTCTCAACCGTTTGAAGCAGATGGGATTCCGGGGTGTGCAGGCACTCAAATTACAAGCAAGAATATATTTTGTTTTTTTTTTTATAAAAACAGCCAAATTATAAAAACAGCCAAATAGTTACTGAAGAAAATCTACTGGATTGTTGGAATTATATTTGTACTAAAATATAAAATCATAATTCAAAAATTCACATTCAAAAATTTATCAGTAATCAATTTTATAAGTTAAAGAAATTTTAATGATGAATTTTTGTCTCTCTTAGATCTAAATAAACTGCAAGTAAGTGAAAATTAGAAAAATAATTATTTGGAATTATCCGTACTTGGAAGAGTTAACCTTTAATGCAAAAAAATATACCGGTGTTTCATGCCGTATTTCATAACCATAAATTAAAATAATGTTAACAATATTTTTTTGCTTATTTTTAACTTAAATTAATGAAAAATAATGTAAAAAAGGTATGAAATTTATATTTTTTTGAATTTCTGGGTCAAAGGGCGTATGAATCGCTCAAGTATTCATATGCCCTTTACATGCAAAGACCAGCGTTTCAAGAAGATCCTACATTGTATCTTGTTTCTAATTTTGTAAGATTAAGTTTTATTCTTTGTTATCTTTTCAGTGCCTCCAAACCTTGTTTGTTGTGAGCACGAGCGCTATGTTGGTGATGGACCAGCGGACGCTTCAAATCAAGTATCGTATTCCAGCGTCTGATATATTCCGGATATCGCTGAGTCCTTTCATGGACGATCTTGCCGTCTTCCATATCCGATCTGTAATTATACCTCTTTTTTAGATATTACCTTTCCCCTTAACTCTAAAATATTCACGGCATATTTATTAGTTTCCTGAAAACGACGCTGTATATTTTCTGATAAATTTTCATCTATAGTTCGTTCACCAGGAGTTGGCACTTGGCTCCGCCTCCTTGGACGCAGAGTTCATTTCAGTGCAGAAGAGAAACATCTCCGCGATTGAAATTGAGACAACCCTTGATGCGCGCCAAACGCAAACAGTGAATTCTTTTTCAGTCACTTACTTCGCTTTATCATCTGCTATTATACCTTTCGTTTCTCGATCTAATTAAATATATTTCAAATTTAAAAACTGCTGTTTTCCCAGCAAATTGACTCAAAAAGGACAAACTTTTCACTCAAAAGAGAGAAATATCATAAAAAGTGGTGCGAAATATCATCAAATTTATGAAGTATTTAACGTTAAAAAAATGTAGATGAAGTTTGCGAAATAAATATTTTTGCCATACGATCGCCAAATAGCAACCTTGTTCACAACCTTCTCCCAAAAATAGCGAAATAGTATCGTCGCATGCCACGTGATAAAGGCGGAGCCAAGTGCCAACTCCTGGTGCACGAGCTATAAACAAGACATGCTAACTATAATATAATGATAATGCAATTTTTTTTCTATATTTTTCTAATATTATGTGCACAAAGAAATTGTTAAAATGTAGGAAAATTTTATTGTTTGAACCAAATAATTATATGCTTGTTTGCACTTGCTCTTAAACTGTAACTATCTAATTTAAAAATCCGTCTGAAATATTCCGCATAAGGCTTTATCCTTTCATGGAAGATCTTGCCGTTTTTCATATCCGATCTGTAATTATACCACTTTTAGATGTTGTTTTACAATATTTCTAACTTATTCAAAATATGTTTATTAGATTCCTGTAAAAGATGGTGAATATTTTTAATAAATTTTCATCTAAATAAGACATTCTGATATAAGATATAGTCCTTTGCAATTTTACTCGATTATTTTTCTAATACTATACTCATAAAGAATTAATTAAAGTGTAGGGAAATTACATTGTTTGAGCCACAAAATTATAATCTTGTCAGCATTTGTTTTTACACTATAACTATCTAATCTAAACGGAATCTAATGATATGCGTAGTGAATAATATTGCAATGCTATATTTTGATTTGTATTTCATTTATTGTTATAATATTTTATTGCAGCGATGTTCGACATTAATACGATGTTTTTCAAATATACTACCACCATAATAATGCGTTATATGATAAATTTTAACATTAATAAAGATTAATGCGTCGAACAGATTATTTCTTATTTTAAATAGTACAAAAAATGCTTACATATAGTATAAACTATTCTAGAATTTTTTTGATCTAAAAAAACATTTATATATATTTCTGTATAAAACTGTCATCAATATTTTTTTAAAATAAGTCTTTGATACTACTAACACTATTGCTTCCGCAGAATAGATAAATACGCATTCATGGCACGTTTCTTTTTTTTTAATATTTAATACAGTGGTCTAGTCGAATAATTTTTTAATTATTTTTGGCTTGTTTAGATAGAACAAAACGGAATTATTGAACTTTATTTTTACAAGTAATTCATAACCACTTTCTATAAACTTGTTATGATTTTACATTGTATTCTAAAATTTTCATTCTATTTTAGCAAAAGTTTGGCAAATTATTATTTCCAACCAGATTTTTTATCATATGGTTTCTTATGGACGTAATAAGTTATTATCGGATGAAATGGTCTTACTAAAAAAGAAGCATATAATGTTTCTTATTTAAGTTGGGTGTTCTGAAATGGCTTCCCTTAACTTGCATTTTTAAAATGAGTTTCAAAACATGCACTTCAAACCAAAAAAGTGTCTACTTCAGGGCTGACAAATTTAAAAGAAAAAAAAAACATAAACGATATCGAAATCTAACGAATCCTTACTGAGGTACGCAGAGAGTAAATCCAAGCCAGTTTGATAACATGATGAAACTTAGAGTTTTTTTTCATAAGCAACTTACTTTTTCTCCCAGCAATTAAACAGGCTTTGGTGTCTTCAGCCCCACTTTCTTCACTTGTAATTTTTCAAATATTATTTATACTATTATTCTTCACCGGCTAACTATTAATGTGTGAGCTCTTATCTCTACATTTTTTTAGTTTTATATCTGAAAAGAAATCAAAAAATATGTATTAAGTAAAGAGACAGGAGAATACCCATAGTGATAATAAATTACCTTTTTTTAATTATTAGAAAGTAGTGCGCACTGTAAAAAAATTCCGAATCAGATTGCGTCGAAGAAGAACTCACGATTTGGGTACCAGTACTTTTTTTCCGTAAAATCCATTTTTATTGTGAAACTTAACAGAAAAAGTCTGAAATATTGTAATTTTGACAATAATATCTACTGTAAAGTCACAGAATCACTGTAGTTACATTATACGAATATTACGGTAAAATAAGTTTTACGGATGATGCACTTAAGATACCAGTACTTTTTGGTGTAATTTGATCCGAAATTTTTACAGTGCTAAAAGACATGACTGTCAGAATTCATATTGGTTTAATATTAGGAAAGATTATTCAAATTACTTTTCTAGTAAAGTGCTTACTTAGCACTTTTCTAGTAAAGTGCTTACTTTTTCTAGAATGTTGTTGTGATGCATACCTCAATAGTTTTAAGATTTTTGTTATCTTTTTAATTCTGGTATTTACTACTTTACATATTTATTAGATAAATTTTCTTGATTTATTGGAAAATTGAAATTCTTATTTTTGTTTAGTTAAAATTATAGTTATTCTGAAGGAAAAAAAATCACATTAAAAAGGGAATAGAAATAATTTATCGTTTTCGTTCTTCTTTGCAGTCGGAAGCTACACGAAAAAAGGGCGATTTCCTGTTTGAAACGGGTCACGTGATAGAAATAGTGACCAAACTATTTCTTGTCATCCAGAATGCCACTGGGAAACCACCAGAAATAAATGTCGCCACAGAGTAAGTATTATTTATCCTTTATTAAACGATTCCTCCTTTAACATGGTTTTTCGAATCTCCTTCACCAAGAAAATGTTTTTTTAAAAAAAGACATTTTATTAAATGGTGTTACACTTTGCATATACGCGAACACTCTAAACTGTTTATGCTATCTTACCATAAAAGAATATTGACCTCTTCATATTGTCGTTTTACTCAATTTTCAGAATAAACGTAGAAGGAACTGACTAATGAAAGGCTAAACACGATCTAACAGTCATTAGCAACTCTGTTGCTAACTCACGTTATTTTTGAAAATAGCATATCATTTGCAAAAAAACATCATTTCATGCTACTACAGTATTTTCGAAAAACAACCTTAAGAAAGCTTTACTTTACTAAAGGTGGTTATCAATTATTAATAGCGCTTAGAGCTGTGTAAACACATGATAACCATTAAGTACTATTTAATTTTTCAAAAACTTAATGAATCTTAAGAAGAAAAGGTATAAAATAATTTTGAAATATTGAAAAATAAAAGCTTTTCTAGGATGCAGGGGAAAAATCAATTGCCCATTTGGATTTGCTATTGTTAGTTGAAAACCCCCTACTTTTCATCTGCTTTCGTTAAAAAATTTATAAGAAATTCTTACAAAGCATTTTAAGAGAAATTTCATATAAAGTGCTTGGAACATTTGCCGAGACAACATAAATTCTATTTTTATAAATTATGCGCAAACTTTTATCGATTATTTTTCGTGCAAGCCCATAGAAATGTTGCTGTTTTTTAAAATTCTTAAAAATGTTTTTTATATAATCTGATCCTCATTACTCGTAAAAGTAAACATAAAAACAACTACTTTAATTAGTATTGCAGTCCTACCAATAGATAAACAAACACTGAAACAAAATGCTCATCTATAAACTTACTAGTTATAGCAAAACAAGTTCAAAAAATAAGCAGCTATCTCTTTACATTACTTTTAATTTTAATCCACAATATTTAGTTTTAATATTACACGGTGTTTATCACTTGCAATGGCAAGTTTCATACATTTTTAACCTTAAAACATTTTTTTAAAAATATAGTCTGTTCTAAAGGTGTAATTCAAGACATAAAAAAATGGGCAAAATTTTAGGAAGTGATAGTACACACCCAAGCAAACAATTTTTATCAAAGAATGCATGGTCGAAAACAAAACGCAAAACCGCTAGAAGGAGTCAAAGTTTATGTTCTTATATGAGGCAAAAACGCACAAAGAACGATTAAGTTAAGTTATAAAAGCAAATTTAATGGCATGTGATTACAATAAGTGATCAAAACAGTGGCCGGCAGCGGCTATGCACGCAGTACAACGGCGAAGAAAAGATAAGCGAACATTCTGAAACACACCAAGCATATCACGAACTTTCCCTGCAGCGACCGAAAGCTTGGCGATAAGTAACGCAGCGCAGTAACTCGCAACAGGAATTGAGCTTTCACGTTTGCGTCGAACAACATTCCAAATGCCCCAGCACCTTTGCGTTTTGTTTTTTACCAAGAATTCTTCGATAAAAATTGTTTGCTTGGGTGTGCACTATGCATCCTAAAATTTTGCCCATCTTTTTAGAATCACCCTGTATTGTTCTCAGAAAGTCTTTCAGCAATGACATTTGGCCCGAAATTTACTTTTCATCGAAAATTTTGTCCGTAAACAAAGTCATATTAAAGTACAGTAGGGAACCGATTATCCGTAACGGTCGGGACCATCGCTATTCCGGATAACTGATTTTTCCGGTTTTCTGAATGTGCCGTTTTTTTATTGTTAAACCCAACTAAAAAATGAAAATTTTTTAATTAATCTTAAAAATAAGAAAAAACGATGAAGTAATACGCTAATGATTATTTCCAAAATGATGGTAAGGTAAACATCTTTAAAAAAAGAAAGAAAAATCGTAAAATCTTATGAGGAAATGTTTTTTTTTGAAAATGGCGAGAAAATTTATCGAATGCCGTTCCGGTTTTTTGGTTTTCCGGTTTTCTGATTTCCGGATAACGGGTTCTGTACTGTAATAAAGTCATATTTTGCGTTTTTCTTAAGTACATCTTGATTAGAGATCATAATCCTCAGTTACTCGGTTCCTATTTGATGCCATTTTCTTTTTTTTTTCCAGATTCGAAGCCAACTTTGGCAAAGAGAACGTTGTCTTAGCATTTAAATGTTCCGGTCTACCAGAAGTGCAACCTGGACAGGTCAAGATATACAGGCGAGGTAACCGAATGGAGGTAGTATTATGAGAAGAAATCCTGGTATAGTTCTACTAATATAACAGATGAAACCAACCAATGTTCCATAAATGTGGGCAGTGTTTCGAATATCGGAACGTGAAGTTAGCCTCTTCAAAGGAAAACATCCCATCGCTATTGGAATAAACCAATTTCTGTCTGGTTCAATATTTCCATCTGTTTTTATTGCAACCAAGCAGTTAAACGTCTTCTACATGAGTGAACCAGCGGTTTGCAAATCAAAATGTACATCGCTTGGAGAGAGCGCCCTCCTGTGGAGGAATAGGGAATTACATAGAAAACAAAATGGTGGATCTCAAGACCTTCGGGTTTGAAATTAGCAATTTTTAGGGAAAAAAATAAATATGATAAATAACTATAGAGATTGAATTTTGGTGCTCTGAAATTAAAAGTTAGTATAATGACGAATAAAAAAAGTTTAATACATATTGTACATAAAAAATTTGAGATATTTAAAATGACAACTAGCGATTTATTGAAAATGACTGTTGCATGTTATCAATAAAAAAGCATATATACGTTGTAAATCACTATGGTATTTTGTTACAGGCAGTATTGTTCTACAACAGACATCCCACGAATACAGTAAAATTATAAATACATATTAAAACATTTTTTGTCAAAAAAAAATTTATTTTCACTGTTTAAAATGCCTATTTTATGGGAATCTATATTTATCAAAGTACACACATAAGTAAAATGAATATGACTTAATTTAATGTCATTATTATTGTTATTTTGTTTTATAAACTATAGTTATTGTTTTTCTTTACGTGAGATCTTGTTATTAATCCGTGAATAAAAGTTTTCATATTAAGCTAATCACAAACAAATATTAAATGAATTAATTAGGAAAAATAACATTAATAAATGATTAATTAAAAATAATAATTAATTGATATCGTAAACATTCTTTATGCAGCAAAGTTTAAGATCTTACCATTAATTCCGGAATAAAAATTTTCCTATTAAGTTATCACAAATGAACATTTTGATAAATTAATTAAGAAAAATAAATTTAATAAAGCATTAATTAAAAGTAACAATTAATTGTTAACGTAAACAGTTTTTCCACAAAACTTATAGTTTTTTTAATTTAAATATCTATAAGTCAATAGGCGTGACAAATATAAATGCTAAAATTTAAATTTATCCAATCAAAATCAATGTGCATTAATACTCTCTTTTTTTAATAATATGAATAATTGCTATAACATATTATGAACAAAGAAATGTAATAGTTCTTACTCTTTATAATTATGATAACTTTAAACATTTTTAGACATTTTTTAAGAGAAATTGAATGTGTTTTAAAATTAATTTAGAGACAAAACATTAAAAGTGAATACTGAAAAAGTATACGTACATTACACTAATTATTGTAACATTAAAAATCATTGTAACATTATTTTGAATTGCATGACTAATTTATAAAATAGTTTTAAGCATTTTCGTTGTAAATGTACTACTGTATTCGTGGAACTGACATAATATAATAATTGTACCTAATATAATTTTTTTTTCAGATATTCATTTAATAGGAAAGTAATAATTAAAAAAGTTTTGATAAAACGACACAATATTGATTTCTGCTTCTTAATCTTTGCAATGCGTTACTTAGAGAAAAGTATGTTTACTACTAGTAAAAAAATAAACTATATTAATATGGGTGATCATTTACATCACTTTAATATTTACCCATACATTCTTCCCATATGAATGAACAGGCGTTGACTTCACTGCCAAAGATAACAAGTGAAACATTTTAGAAGCGAAGAACAAATTTTTAAACTGTAAAATTTAATGAGAAGAATGCGTAATATATCAAATTTAGATCTTCGAGTTATAGAAATAGTAAAGCATGCATACTAATGCAATACGCTGTCTTAGTTTTTCAAAGTGGTCTAAACAGGAAAAAAATGTAGCAAATGAAAGAAAATAATTGATGCAATATGCTGTTTGAAACTTCCAATCACGCTTTAAACGGGAAAAAAAGTAGCGAATGAAAGAAATAATTGATGCAATATGCTGTTTGAAACTTCCAATCACGCTCTAAACAGGAAAAAATTAGAAAATGAAAGNTGCTGTTTGAAACTTCCAATCAAGCTCTAAACGGGAAAAAAAGTAGCGAATGAAAGAAATAATTGATGCAATATGCTGTTTGAAACTTTCAATCACACTCTAAACGGGAAAAAAAGTAGCGAATGAAAGAAATAATTGATGCAATATGCTGTTTGAAACTTTCAATCACGCTCTAAACGGGAAAAAAAGTAGCGAATGAAAGAAATAATTGATGCAATATGCTGTTTGAAACTTAGAATCACGCTCTAAGCAGGAAAAAATTAGAAAATGAAAGAAATAACTAATACTAACGAAAAAATTAACTGAAACAATATGCTGTTTTAACTTTCAATAACACTCTAAACTGGTGCAAGTAGAGTACAAAAAAATAGCTGCTACAAATAGTGGCATTAAAAAAAGTTGTAAACTGAAAAAACTGTTTTTAAAAATGATAAAATAGTACATGAAGAAATGTCATTAATATAGATACGAACAATATTTGTATTAAGAGAATGCTGTGAATACATAAAAGTAACGGATGAAAAATATTTTTTGGGAAAAAAATGTTTTGGCTGAAAAATAAATAGCATCACTGATATGAAAAAAAAATTTCAAATTCACTGCAGACAGATAAAACCGCAACGTTTGTTAACAAATAAAACTGTAACGATTGTAAACTAACAAAATTTTAACGATTGTAAACAAATAAAACTGTAACGAATGGAGTAATAACAATGATAGATGAAATAAAAATTAAAACAAGCTGATGATAGAACAAAATTAACAATACCACCAACTGATAATAAGACAAAAAATAAATAAATAAATGCGGAACCGACTTGAAACAGTTGAGCTTTATAATTAATATCGATTGACAATAAATAAAAACGGAACTTCATATCGACTGGCAATAAAGATAAAAATTAATATCATCTATCAATCGATCAAAATGAAAAGTAATATCGATTAGCAATAGATCAAAACGAAAATTAATGTCAAGTGAAAATAGATCAAAATAAATATTGATATCGACTGGCAAAAGATCAAAATGAAAATAATATCGTCTGACAATGGATCAAAATGAAAAATAATATCGACTGGCATTAGATCAAAATTAAAATAATATCGTCTGACAAGAGATCAAAATGAAAATAATATCGACTGGCATTAGATTAAAATGAAAATAATGTCGTCTGACAAGAGATCAAAATGAAAATTAATATCGACTAGCAATAGATCAAAACGAAAATTAATATCAATTGCCAATCGATCAAATTAGTTTGTCGAAAGTGTTGTGCCATTTTTAAATAATTGATTTTTGCTATGGTATGCTGGCTTTGCTATTTCTAAATTCGAAAGTTAGAAAAGTAAAAATATAGCAATTCTTAACGAAAAAATTGTTTATTGAATTTCAAGGAATTTTGCATATTATTCCTTGTTGTTGGAGATTGTTACATTTTATAAGAACTATTTTAGAATTGATGCTTATAGCATGCCCACGTGACTACGGGTGTCTTTGTGATTTGGAGGCATGGAGACGTCTCCTGATATTTCACCTTTTGAGTTTATTTGGTTTAAATAAGTAATAAAATGTGACTGACGAACAAATTTAAATTATTGGAGACGATCTCCAAATAATCTATTTTTCAAAGACACTCTATATATGTTGTTGTTTAGTTTAATCAAAATGCTCAACACATTTTTCCCATTATAAATAGTAATTATTTTCTAAAATAATAAATGTGATGTTGTGTTTTTTTTAACTTTAAAATCTACATAATTATGTAGAAAACAAAAGTACTTGTATTATTATTGAATTATTTGTTTAAAACTTAATTATTTGAGTTTTTTACTGATCGCTCTTTCCAAATAACATTTTATGGAGAAATTATTTAATGAATAAATTATACCTTTTTAGTATTTGAAATATTTGTATTTTTCAACTAAATTTTTTCTATTACTAAACTATTAAATCACTATATTAATTGTAGAAACTAAATTATTTTAATCAAATTGAATCAAAATGCTCAATACATTTTTCCATTATACATAATGATTATTTTTAAAAATAAAAAGTGTGATGTATTTCTTTCTCATTTGAAAACTACATAATTATGTAGAACTCTAAATTGTTTGTGTTTTAACACTTGAAATGGTCAAAAACTATTAAAAAGAGAGGATCTTATAAACATAATATCATTAGTAAATTATCATCATGTCTTTGAATATTTTTAGTTAATTTATGTGCATATTTTTTAGTCTTTTTTTACAACTTTATGTATTCTTGTTTTGCCTGATTATAGAATAAAATATTTGTGAATTTGAATGTTATCAAAACTAAAGTTAAGTTGAGTTTAAACTATCAGTCATAATTGAAATTAATTTTATTTTAAGATTATTTTAAATTTTTAAAAATTTCAATAACTATTTTAATAATTTTCCAAATTTCAAAAATTCTTTGATAGCAATTAATAAAGTTTAAATAAAGCATCAAATGATTGGAAATTGTTAGACGTTTCCTAATAAATGCTCAAATTATTATAATTATCTCAGTATTTTTATTAATTTTTTCATATGATAGCAATTATTATATAGTGAAACATTTGTTAAAATTTCAGTTATGATAACTAATTTAATATAATTTTATATGTATTTGTCTTTTTTGTTTATTTAGACTANAAATGATTGGAAATTGTTAGACGTTTCCTAATAAATGCTCAAATTATTATAATTATCTCAGTATTTTTATTATTTTTTTCATATGATAGCAATTATTATATAGTGAAACATTTGTTTAAATTTCAGTAATGATAACTAATTTCATATAATTTTTATATGTATTTGTCTTTTTTATTTATTTAGACGATCAATAAAATTAAGAAAAACGATAAGTTGTAAAATGAATATAAAAAATATAAATACTAATTTTTGTAAATACTATTCACTATGCTATTATTCATTATTTAAATTATAATTTTAAATCCATTTCTGTAAATTCATCATGATATTAAAAGGTTTTATAGAACAAATATAAATATGACTAATTAATACTAAATACTTTTAAATACTTATTTCTTAAAACAAAAAAAGGATAAACAGAAAAAAATATGATTGTTCAAACGATTGTTCATTCAGAAAAGTTTATTTAATTAATAAGCTTAAACTTAATTTTACTAAAAAAATGTTGCTGTTGTTTTTGTTTAAATAACGAGGATTTTCTTAATGAGTTTGATGCTTTTGAATTTATTTAAAATGTCTAAGTATCATTATTGTTTAAGTGTTTCTAAGCAAGCTTCCTTCTAAAATTCTGCAACGATAATTTAATCATTTACTTACAATTTTTTGATTAAAAAAAATAAAAAATAGAAAAATATATTTTGTTTAAACTGAAAAAAGCTCTCCTAAATAAAATTTTTGATACTCTGAATAAACATAAATCATAGTTTGAATAAATTCTTAAATAAATGCAAATTATTATTAATGATTTATAATTTTCTCTTATGTAATTTACAATTAGTATTAATAATTACTTAGTTCTTACTTATTTATAACTATAAATTTAAATTTTTTTTTATTTCCATTTTCTTAAAATTTTATTCCTAGTATTAAAGTTTAATGCATGAATTAAATATGTTTGTTGGCTTATAGCATCTACTTTTAATAACAAATTTTCACCTTTTTTAATCTTTATATTTATTTTATTAAATTATTAAAAATATTGAATTAAATAGCATGAAACTTTCTTTCATTCTTCATCTATTTCGAACAATTTCTGTTGATATTTCTGTACTTAATTTGATTTACAGTAAAAATTTCTAAATTAATTATAACTTCTAATTTGCAAATTTTATTTTTCATCAACAGATTATTTAAGTCAATTGATATTTTAATCATATTTAGAATTTAATTATCACTACTTTCCGACTTAAAGACTTCAGATTATTTTATTAAACTGAAAAACTA